AGATGGCCACGTACCTTGGCCGAAACGTCTGTATAAATTTATAATAGAAAAAGGAATTTTTGAGCAAATCGATCCAGCTCTTGCTCTCTCTCTCTCTCTCTATTGGCTTTATATATTAAAACGATTTTTAATAATAAAATATGTATTATAGTTTTCAAGAATTGAAAACGATAAAAATTAGTATGTAATTTCAAAGTGAGCGCATTCCTGAAATTTTATCTCGTCGATGCCAAATCGTTATACCGAAACCTTTTTGCCAATTATCCGAGAATGTATAACAGCAGACTCAATTATTTGTATAAACGTGCTTTATGCAATGTAATAATTATACATATCAAACAGTAAATCATGCAACTAATTTTATTAATCTTAAAAATGATGTCCATGTGCACCAAAAAACCGATTATAAAGAGACATGCGAAATATTCCACGTTACGGCATGTGTGATTATCATTTTACAAATTATCTCGTAAAATTCTTATTTAAAAAATATACAATTATAATCGTTCTTTTTGATACTTTCCTCAAAATTATGAGGAATTATATGTTCATTAGATTGTCTAAGTATTGATTCAAATTCTTATTTCACATTGATTGTATATAATATATATTTCTTATTATATATTTATTAATAATTTCTTTTATCATGCTAAATGCAATGAGCAGCAATTATTTACCCAAATAATGCTTCGTCTTTCGAAGATAAGTTGAGTCAGGTTGGAGCTTTTTCAGGGATGAGACGCAGCCCACGCATTCAATTTATCACGTTTAAATGAATAAATCTGTTAATAGTCGTCCGTATTAAAACTTTCATTAAATTGCCAATTATTCATTAAATTTCGTTAATATTTATATTAATTTCAATTAACATGTTTATACATAAAATGTGAAAGTGGCTAATTCTCATAATTAAAAAGATAGCACAAAAAATGCTGCGCTATTTATAACATATTAATCACAGATTTTTGTTTCTATACATTTAAAAAATTTATAAATATTATTTTTTGAAAAACATGCCACGGAGATATTTCTTTCTAGCACTTACATTTATCACGACAAGTTTCCAACGTGCTTATTCGATGAGAAAGTGGAAAGGTTCTTATCAGAAATAAAACAAATGACATGATATATTCAAAATTCACTTTATGTTAAATCCGTGTAGCAGCATGTCATAACAGAGTATATCTTTCTGGGATCAGTTCAGAGAACCATCGACGCGCACGCACACATACACCATGCATACATACATACATACATACAACATACATACATACATACATACATACATCATACATACATACATACATACATACATACATACATACATACATACATACATACATACATACATACATACATACATACATACATACATACATACATACATACATACATACATACATACATACATACATACATACATACATACATACATACATACATACAATACATACATACATACATACATACATACATACATACATACATACATACATACATACATACATACATACATACATACATACATACATACATACATACATACATACATACATACATACATACATACATACATACATACATACATACATACATACATACATATATACATACATACATACACATACATACATGCATACGTACACACACGCGCGTGCGCATAACTGTATTTTATTTACATACATTCATCGTTGCGGACCGAAGAGTCGCATAACGTAAGTATACGTACCGTAAATATCACCATCCTAATCATCGTAAAATTCTTATTCTTTACAAAGATCGCCGACTGCTAGCGGTTACACATAGTATATTTTCCACATCTATCGGTTTCTCTGTTGCTTACTGAAATTAGGACGAATTTGACATAAGAAATAACTGGAGAAGCAATCTGTGCGCATAATTAGAACTGTAAAGATTCTCTTGTAGATTTATCTTCCATTATGACATCACATACATGTCACGAATAAGTAACATGATGGAAAAATTAACGGCAGCTGCCAGAATCGCCCGAGAAATTCAAAGCTGTTTTCATTAAATCAGAAATCAACGGGTTTCACAGAAATTATTTGCAAATCTACATGTCCTATTAAATTTCCTTACTTTCTTTTTTCTTTTATTAACGTTTTAACTTTTTTAACGTCATGATAGAAGATCAATAACTTTGGATATTCAGCGTTTCTCACATTGTTACCAATTGCATATCTTGTAGACGCACGAGAAAATCAACTCCTCTTACAGCCGTCTATACCGGTAAGTATCCATAAGTACAGATTTCTCATCGTCCTCTTTTTTTTTCTTTGCCGGACTCGCATTTCTCGCCCCCGTTATCCCTTGAGCGGTTTGTCTATTTACGCAATTGATTTAGCCTAAATGCCTGTCTATCGATTCACTCTTAATGATGTAACTATTTTTAATCTATCTATACATATCTATTCTCTATATTATACGTTGCTCCCTACATCGTTACAAAGTATTTATGTACAAGTTTCCGAGGGTCACTCGCATTTTCTTAATTGATAGGCCATGATGTACTACAGGCAGCAAGACGGCGAGTCCCCATGCGCGATCACTTTTCTGCCGTGATAACGGCATAATCACATTTAACCAATCGCATCATTTTGACGATTGCACATACGTGTCGGAATTATAAAATAAAAATAATTATGCACAATCAGGCGAGCTTTCTTGCGGGTATTCTATCAGTTAAATTTTCGTCGCTTTCTTACGAGTATGAATTTCGAGTGAAGATAATAAAGTATTTAATTGAAAATAATAAAATGTCGACAAAATTTCGATTGTCATAAAAAATTCTATACCTGGCAGTTATTGTGTATTCAATCGGAAACGTTTCCGATCAGAAATGTTCCATTTTCCCTAAATGACGTAATAAAATATTTAGGAAAACATATAGAGAAAAACAAAAAATTTCCGATCCGAGTACAAAATAGCTGCTTTGATCTAGTTTTACGGACTTGAGAGACATATTCTCTTTACTAAAAGCGTCCGATAATTATATTACGCTACCCTGAGCATTTTTTTGCGTTGATAATAAATAAAAAGTTCGATTGACGTCGCGACGCCGACAGATTGGCGAATTTCACTGATATCTAGCATCCATCATACGTAACAATCTTTAATATAGATCAGTCGCAAACACACCAGGCACTCTTTGTCGACATTCATGGCGTTGATGCTACTCGTACCGCCATGCCTTTTTCGTTATCTGTTATACTTTCAGTAATGTGTAATCTCAATTGTTAAAAAGCTAAATTACGGTCTACAAAATTGCGAAACACTCGCCATTGACTAAGGCTCTGCAGCAACAAAGCTACTATGATCGCGAAAACCTGTATTGTTGATTTTTCTAGTTCATGGAATCCGAGAAATAACACGGTGACGATAACGCGTCGATACGCGCTGATAAGATATACAGAATGATGAGGTGCCGCATTATTGTCTCCGATACCATTCGCTGATTTAAAGATATTTCGCTACAATTATATCGATCGTCGACGGATGAGATTTAACTCATCGTTACCCTTCGTTATTACAACACACACACAATTGTCTCAATTTATTTCGATTATGCATTGTTATACAGTTTAATTAAGCTATTAATATTTTATAACAAAACACGTCCAAAGTAGCTATTATATAATCACTTTTCACGATTTCAATGGATGAATTTCTGATTGCAATTCTGTCCGTATCTTTCAACTTCTCCGAAATCGGAACGGTATCAGAATTTATCAAATAAAAATGCAAGATAATGTATACAGAGTGTCCTGTAATTCGCGTACAATTACAGTATAATTACAGAAAATTAAAAATATTCAGAATTTATTGTTGCAAAAATCTAAGCGTCATGATATAGAATTCTTTATGAGTTGTTTTTACAAATTATTAAAAATATAAAAATAACCTTAAAGTTTTCTTGAATGTAAATATTAGAACTGAAACCAAAGATTCAAACATACTGTATGTTCGATATTGGACAGTTCAGATTAAAGAAAAATAAACATCGAGTTCGAACAGTTCAAACTTAAATCGATCTGTAATTAGTGTTGTCATTTAGAACAAATTACCTGACTATCTGGGTACATAGCCGAGTATTGATAGCACTATCCGTAATGTCAATTTATTATGTCTGAAGATTTGACACGTCGGACAGTAAAGAAAAGCAAACGTAGTATGCATTGTAGACAAAAAACAAATAGCCCCAAAAAAACTTTTAGGGGCTAACTTTACTACAAATACGCGCAATATATACGCGAATACATGTTATGTCAAAAGAAATAAAGTTAATCAAACTGTTCAAACATACCTTCAGTTCAAAGCGTTTGAATTATTTAACGTCCAAACTCGAGAGTCAAACTGTCCGAACTGATCGATCATATGAAACGTCCAAACTAATTCGGAATCGTTTCAATCATGTCGGAATTTATCCAAATACACACAATGTAATAACTAACAAAAAATCAAACTATTCCAATCAGAAACTGGAATTCATTTTTGTCAATTGTTCTATTATAGATATTCAGATAAATTCTGAAATGATCGGAATAATTGCGATACTTTATGAATAAGTAGAAAATTGATATAAATATAAGTGGAAAATCGGAATAAATATTGATATTTACATTCAAGCGAGAATTTCTAAAGAATTTATTTTACATTTCCGATAACTTGTAAAAAATGACTCGAAAAGAAGAATGCGATGCACCTGTAAAAAAGATGACTAATGACTTAAAAAGAATTTTATGTCACGATGCTTAGATCTTCATGAAATTGTTACAACAATAGATATTGAATTTTTGTAATCTTTTTACCATAATTACATATATTATCTTATATTTTTATTTAGCAAGTAAATTCCGATTCCGTTTCAATTTGGACTCATAAATTCACAATAAACGATATGAAAAATGTGATGAAATTGCGATCGGAAAATCAAGTTTTCAATTGGAATCTCGTGAAAGTTACACGATAACCGGAATTCTAATTTTATCAGATCGATAAATAAAAGCAATGGACAAAACACAATATTTATAAAAGCGATATAAAAGCGAATACTGTGCTATAAGTGTAACATTTTTGTACTTTAATATAAAAAAATCGAAACCAAGAATACGTACACGAACATTATTAATTTTGTTGCAATGCTTCATAAACATGAGATGTTTATTCCCAACATTGCACTCACTTTTAAAATAGCGATATCATTTAAACATCAAGATGGAAAAGTTGTGACATTTGATACAATTCTAACTTGGGGCGAATTATATATTAATAATCATAAACGTATTTTGCGCTTTCTCTTGCGATTCGACTCTTTAAGTAAACACTTATAAAACTAAACTCATGCGAAGCCCGATTTAAAGAGGTTCACTTGTTTTACGTTATCAACTCGTGTTCTTCTATATCCAGCTAACATACGTCAATTTAAACTAACGATTTATCCGTTGTCGTTTGCACAATCTCATAGCTGCGCCAAATCTGCATTTTGTCAGACGTGCAAAGAGAGCGTACAACAATAGTTTCTTACTTCGTTAATGTGCGCCCGATGCTGTTTATCGCGCACCGTGCGAGCTTCCTCGACGTTTGCTTGTTGCGGATGGAAAAGCCGTCGAATAATTTATTGAGTAGAAACGATTGTCAATTTTGCCAACGGCAGGACACCTGTCACTGACAGATCCCACAAATCACGAATACGCAATATAATTTCGCGTTGGAAACGGAATCGATCATCGATAGAACTTGCGACAGCCAGCGCCGCTTTTATACGATTATCAGCGCCGCAAGTACGATACTCGGTTGATCGACAGTTCACAAATCTCTAACGATCGGTCAGAGACACTTGCCGGGATTCTGAGAACACCAGTGTGGCCACATGGACTCCGTTTTGATGCCTCTGCTGTTCAGAACTTCGATGTGAGCAGCCAATCTGGTGTAAACGTTCTCGTCTGTGGAGTAACTGTTCGTTGGTAAGTCGCTCCTAAAAAAAATATTTTTCGTGAGAACTTGAAAAGAAGCTTGCTTTTATTACATTTCGCTTGATTCACCGCAATGTTCTTTACCATAATCGTTCGGCCAGTGCTGACGCTCTCGGCCATAGTCGAGGCCCGAGGGACGACTGTCCGGTCTGTTCGTTCCAAATTGCCGCCTCGCCGCCGAGCACCAAAGGCAGCTGCTGCGGCGGATAATCTCTCCACGGACGATGATTGTAGACGGTCTGCCAGGTACGGTACTCGCCACACGCGGCCTCGCCGCTTTCCCGCCACCTCCCGAACCCGCAATCCAGGTACCACGCGTCCACGTGCGACAGAATGACGCGGAAGCCGTCCTCGAGGAGGTCCGGCGTTTCCGGCCAGTTGCTGCCACCCCAGGACTGAATGACGTGGATCTTCGGGTCGAAGTACATCATGATATACGGCCTCTTGGTCAACGGCGAGCTCCACAGGATCACCGCCTTCGGCACGTTCTCGTGATTCGCGCGGATCAGCCGCTGCAGCATCTTCGTCTCGAACTCGGCCCAGAGCGCGTGATGATCCGTCATATTTTGCGCCTGCATGGCCAAGGTGATATTGCCGTATTGCGCCCAACACTCGAGATTCACCTCGTCGCCTCCGAGGTGCACCACGTCGCGCACCTCGGTCAGGTCCAACAGCTCCCGGTACAAACCCTCGAGAATCCGATAAGAGTGTTCGTTTATGGGATTCAGCTGGCCGCAATTCGGCTCACCGCAATACGACGACCACGGCTGCTGGTCTACGCACAACGCCAACTCGCCGAGACCGTGTTCAGCACCTGACATAATTTAAAGTGGTAAAAATTAGCATCAGGAATCTGCCGGACAATCTTAACAATCCTAACATTTTTCACCGCCAACATTTGATGAAGTAACATACTTTTTGTGTGAAAAACAACGAGGATTTAAAATTGTTCCGAAGCGACTCACCCCACTGCCAACCGGCGCCGGCGTGAGCCGGAGAATCGATCTCGACAACGATTCTGACGCCGCGTATCTTCGCATAATCGGTTAGATCCTTCACGTCGTCGGGCGTGTAAATGTAATCGCCGCTGTACGCGCCCCATCTCGCCATTTCCGGAAATTGCGCCGAATCGAACGGAAAGCTCTGGGAATCGGTAAGGTGCCAATGAAAAGTGTTGAGCTTCGTAGCTGCCATGCCATCGATCACCCTCTTCAGTTCCTCGACGGGAAAGAACTGCCTACCGGTGTCGACGAGAAGGCCGCGATAAGGAAACGCGGGATTGTCCTCAACAGTGGCTCGCGTGAGGACGCGAAGAGCGCCCTGCTTGCCGGCAGCCTCGTCCCACCAGATTAGTTGGCTAAGAGTCTCGAGGCCATGTCGCACGCCGAAGTAACTCTTCCCCGTAATTCTCGCCTCCAGGAGTTTTCCTTTCGGCGCGAGCTTCAACTCGTAAGACTCGTCGGTGTCCAAAGTTAAGCTGGCACTCTGCGCATTCCCGGCGCACAAATATATGATGAACGAGTCAATACCGGATCGACTCTTGGCGTTCAGCACCTTAACCAGGCTCCTGATGTTTCCTGAGATCAATGAAGGTCTCGCGTGAGAAAAAGATTCCGCCGATTTAATCGTACCGAACGTAATAAATGATTGATTACTGTGCAAGATGCGCACGATCAAAGTTAAATATGTTTCACAAAAGGTGTTATATCGGCATGCAGGTTGTGTAATTCTATAATGGTATGTAAGATGAATTTGAATCCCTATTTTTATAGATGATAAACCTTTGGATTTTTAAAGCCTATTAAAAAACAATCGTCAACCTTTTTTCCTTTTGTTTCATTCGACAATAATTTTGCTTTAATTTAATGCAAACTTTGTTGATGTCCGAAAATATCTCAAGTGTTAAAAAAAATCTTTGTTCACTGCCTTTCATGAGATGTGCATGTTAATAAGAAGAAGCTGTTGTGCATGTGTGGAATGTCTTGAAAATGTTTGATGAATTTTGCAAGAACAACTGTGCTCGGATTTTCCAACACTCACCGATGAAGACGTCCTTTGCATGCTCCAGCAGATCCTTCGTCTCCTGATCGCTCGTATTCACGGTGACGAATTCGATCTGCTGAAGATGCAAGATGACACTGTCATCGCCGAGAACGACGTTTTCGGTCGGTCTGGGCCACAACAAACGAGTATTCCCTCCGCAATGCGCGGTACAGGTAGCCAAGGATGTTCTCGAGGACCTCACAGCTCGTCTTTCACATCGGTTCGCGACACACGCCCAGGACCATGGACTTTGAAATGTCCTGCGATCCGTGAAAATTACTCGTAACTCGACAACTCATAATGCCACAATCTAATCATTTGCAATCTAATCATTTCTCTTTCCTATGCGCAATATAACGGATAGGATGTTTGGTAATCTATGGCACGATCGACCAAGTATCGATTCCCCTTCTTCAATCGTATCGATAGATAGATAAAACACAAATGTTATTCAAACATTTCTTTCATAAAAACATCATTTGTTTTTGGGAATTATCCTTTTATTTAATGAATAATTTCCAGCAGTTTTTCGTATCACGGATTACCAAATACTGTAATTACTGTATATTCTTTTCTCAAGTGATCCAGTTCAGGACAAACATTTTGTTTCGGCAATATAATCGATGCGGCAAAAGCTATAAAAACGATATGTAACTCTTAAGAGAAAACAACATGCAGCAAATGATGTTCTTTTCGGATTCTAATTTTGCAGAATTAGAGCAATAGCTGTGAGAAATTCTATTTATCGCGGTCATCTTTTTAAAACTTGATAAATTGCTTTATATCATTGCTATAGGCATGTGTATATCAAATTTTATTACTAAGTCATCATCTTGAATTGCAGCGATTTGCATAACATGTAGCGCCTAAACGCATAAAGTAAATAAATAAAACCAAAAGTTAAAATGCAAAATAACATTAAAACTTAACAGCATTGTAAAAAATTAATACATGCAGCAATTTATATAGCAAAAAGTTATTTGCGAGCATAAACATTATTTTTTACAAATTGCTTTACCTACTTTTAATTAATTTTTAATCTACTTTATTGTTTTTGCATTTTAACATAATATGAATAAACGAAGCATTGCCTTTTCTTAATAGAGAAAAAGCATAATGTCAACGAAATTTGTAAGTGTATTATGGGTAATTTATTATTACTATTATTAATAAAATTAAAATTATTTTAAATAAAATTAATTTATTTAATATCATTAATAAAAATGCCACAAACAATGCTTCTGTCTCACTATTTGCTGGCGTTAATTTAGCTCCGTCTATTCATACTATGTCTATAATATTTGATGATTAACAAATGTAACAAATATAAAAATATTTTTCTTTTGCAAAGACAAAAGTAAACAAAGTAAGATAAATAAACTGAATTAAATTTATTAAACCAAAATGAATAATGTTTGCCACTGATTTGTAATTTAATTGTTAAGTAATGTAACATCCTACTAATATTATTCGAGCAATTAGCTTCGAACAATAGAAAAACTTAATAATCTTCACATTTTTTGTAAAAAAAAAAAGAAAACATCTACAATATTTTTTGCAATTCATTCCCTATGTCGGCCAAGTTGGTAATATCGCATTCCTGACAAATAAAAAGCTACTCATTATAACGGTAAGACAAATAAAAGTTCGAAAAGCGATAGCGGCAGCACCGTTCGAATTAGATGCTCTTTCAGAACAATGAACGTAAGAAGAAAAGAAGCAAGGTTTACGGAACAAAGCGCAAAATAACTGATTAATCATGAAATAAGAAAACGTCTGCTCGGAAAAATGTAAGAATATTTCAATAGGGAGTGCGCTATGAAAATGAGTGCCCCGATGAAACTCGAAAGGAAACAAAACGACAAGGACTTCGACAGACTCGCAACGCTTTCAACTGAATTCAACTCAATAGTTGCACTGAATTCGTATTCTGTGCTACAAATTAAATATTGTCATACAGATAAAATTCGAAACTTTCCAAAAATTCCTAGTTTTCTCCAAAAAGGATAAAAAAATATACCCTTACAAATCTGAAATCCAACATAAAATCACGTAACTATAAGAATTCCGATTATTTCATTTCAAATTATTATTTTTCTTTCTTTTCTAAGCATGGTATTGAAATGTAGAGAAAGATTGACGATTAAAATTCCGTTATATATTCATAACGATGCAAAATACATTCCAAACTGGACTTTTTTCTAGATTTTATCCTCTGAATTACATTCTCCAAATCGTTTTCAGTTGTCCTCAATCGTTTCAGGCTTGCATCAAAAGCAAAAGTACACAAATTATTTTCGAAATCAAGGCTGGGACAGTCGGGTTCACAAAACGGGTCGCAACACGTCGCAAACTGCATAATTTGCAGGACATGGGAAACAATAGCGGAACGCGGGTGTGCGTTTAGCATGATAGGCGTGTTCGGACGAGTGGATTAAACGAGTGAGTGCCAAAATGAGGTGTTGCGAGAGAAGGCGAGAGAGATGCACAATCAGAGACTATATAGTCGAGAGTCTCTACGCGAAAATTCAGGATGTTCGAGAGTTTGTTCACGAAACAGTCGGTGTGTTGCAGCACGCGCCCGGATAGCTTCTTAATTGGAAGAGTAATGTCTGATTAATATCAGGCAACACGTGCCTGAAAAAAAAGGAAAAAAAAAAAAAAATACGAAATAAAACTATACGAAACATAATAAATCCTTCTGAATTCTCGAGAATGAGTGTAGAAGTGTAATATCAAACGTACAAGATTCGAAGAATTTCGATATTTTTACACGCATTAATTGTATTAAAAGATTTACTGTAATATTACAAGAATTTCATTAACAAAAAACAAAATCTGTAGGAATGTTTCGCAAACTGTGAAACATGATTTATTGTCAAATTTTGGATTCTAAAAAAATTCTTTTGTATAGAATAAAATTTTTCAGCAGTATCATTCAATTTGTCGCAATTTCGTGAGAGTAAAGAAATTGTTTCATGAAACGCGCTTTCTTTTCCAAGGGCAATCGAATATCGCGCGCGGAAAGAACAAACCCCGATCGGAATGGAAACGGAAACGGATTCGAGCTGAAGGCTTCAGAAATACGCAATACAATTCGATTAGCGTTAAGATTCCAAGCTCCCGCCCGGGAGGTATCCGTTACCTAGGTCCTTCCAGATACTCGTAGAGCCGTCCCTCGAATCCGATCGTGGTTTCATTACCCACCAGGTAATTAACCAAGCCGCGTTGCAAGTCCTCTAGTCTTCTTCGATGCGCGATTCGTCGCGTGATGCGAGAATGCGAGGTAAATTCAAAATAAAAAAAAAACATGCAGTGTAAGAAAATAATCAGAAGGGACAGGATTTCAAGATACAAACGTTACATCGCGACAACTGAACCTCGCTGCGCTGGCCATGTTGATAAAAATTATAGAAACACAGAAATTAAAAAAAAGGAAAAAAAAACAGCCTTGCGCTTTGCGCGGTCTTAGCGATATTTCACATTGATCTTTATTTCTATTTTCGATTTTCTAAATCTTTCCTTACGTGTATTACATATTAGTAGCATGTGATTAACAGATATTAAAGTTAGTAAGTTAAAACTAGACATATAGCGAAATATATTCTAAAAAAATTACCTATTAGTCTTTAATGTACACGGTATCGACGATTTCGAGTTTATTTTCTGTGTACCCGATTATTTTCAACCCAGAAACGTCAATTACTGAGTTTTATTCGCCAAATCGTTCATTTCAACGAGAATCAAGTAGTAAAAATTGTGATCTGTCGCAAATGACGTACTTACCGACGCGTGGCGAACGGCTGGAGCGATGCGAGCGGCGGAGCATGAGCGTACATGGCGATCAGTAGGACTCCGGTCATCAGGACGAGGAAGAGGAGGATCCTCCGCATCCACCCGCTGGGCATACTACCCACCATTCTGGCGAGTCTGCAAATAAACAAGATGTTAACATCGCGGACGTACTGGAAATCGTAAATCGCGTGGTTGCGAATTAATCGACGGGAATGTGTCATTTCACCGTCAACCGAGGCGACGATAAGGATATCTTTCGTGTCCAGATCACTTATCATTTCCGCAGAGTCATAAACTGACGAGCGAGATTCATGATAAATATGAAGTGCTTCCGCATTTATTTTCATCTATGATTAGCATCTCATTTAGCGCTGCGTATTCTAAATAATTGTTAATTTGTATTTAGTCGACAAAATTGTACGTTTTATTTAACACTAAATGCGATTACTTGAATTCAATTTTTATTTATCTAATTCGCAAATTGTGTAAAAGCTTGGCATAAACGATAATAAGATAATCGTACTTCAAGATAAATTACAGATGTACGTACTTTTACTTCCATCATCTTACTTTTTTTAAACTTCCTCTTTTCAACGTGGCAAAGATAAGACATGGTAACATTTACTATTAAAATGGACGACGAAAATGTAAATGTGTGTTTCTACTATAGAATCCGTAGATGGTGACACGCGAAAGATAAGGCGTGATTTACATGGAAAGCGTGTCTGTATAAAGACACGTACATCTCAAAATTAAAGAGCAGACGGCCGAATGAAAACGTTTCCCACGTATTTCCGGCGATTCTTCTGGCGCGAGAAATCGCGTTGTTTCTTTTTTTGTATCATGCTGTGAATCTAGTCGCATCCACCGCAAAAATTTAAACATAACATAAATACACAACACTTATCGTTATTTTTAGAAACTGTAAACAAAATGGAATTATCTAATATATTCTAAAAGATGCTAGTCCACAAAAATATACAAAGATACCGCAGTTTATAAGAGTAAAATATGAAATTTATGTATAAATTTGTATCTGTTGATTGATATTAAACCTTGCAATCTCTTTTTGAAATTTATTTTACCACTTATCTTCATGCGCAAGAATAAGAAAGGCGGCGAAAGTATTTTAAACGCGAATACCCGCGCGTAAAAGTGTTTGCTTTCCCGCTTTATAATTTCACGAGGATTTATAATCCTTCGCCAGACATTACCTTCCGATATTACGTTACGGTGTAACAGTTACATTTCCGTCGAAACACCGTGCAAATATTCATTCCCGCGCAATTCGATCTGTCGAGACAAATTCGATATTACATTTATATTTATTGAATCATTTATCGTGCGAATAAACGGTGAAAAAATGAGAAATTTTGCGATTTCCAAATCTTTTTACTTTTAATTCATCTGCTTACACTATAGTACAAATTCCAGTTAGGCGTCATCGCCCTTCGCTCGCGAAAAACACACGAGGCGAGAAATAACAACAAATTGAAATCGCTCATAGTAACTCTAGGCCGTTTCAAACGCTGCTATCGCTTGTAAGTGTAATAAAAAAATTACATAATATTTTGCGTTATTTTCGATAACAAAATAAATTCTTTCTCATAATCATTATCACTAAAAACGCGACAAGACTTGTGTTTGCAAAAAAGGAAAAGTTTTAAAGTCTTATATTTAGATAAAATATAATTTAATAAAATAATTTAAAATATATATATAATTTTGTTAACAAATAATCGTATTTTAAAGAGAATCGAGTACTACTTTGATTCTTTTTTTTTACGAGAAATGTGATTTCCTCTTTTTAAAACAGATAACATTGGGCAGCAATTGTGTTTCGAAATGGGCAGGTTTCTACCTCGACTTCGTTCTTATCACGTCGTGCAGAAGACCAGAGTCGAGTGAGCGTTGCTATTTATCGCAGTGAGTAGCAGCAGTGTCTAAGAGCCACCTGCCGAATTGCACAGAAATACACCTTGGATGCCTAGGCAAGGTCTAAGCTTAGCTTGTTGCTTCTCAAAATGTTCCACAGTCTACACGGTCTAGTTATGATTACTACACGAGTACTTGGCACCTTTACCGCTTCAGCTCTTGGAATAGGCACTTTAGATTTCGATCCTGAGAGCGAGTCAATCCCTCACATTAATTTATTCCAATGTAATCATAATTCCGCCATCGAACAATTATAAGAAAGGCAACACCGGCTGCAAGATTTTTGCGTGCGCCGCTATTTTTCATTCTTCGTGTATACCTGACGTGTTTTGCATTTAGGCAGCTCTAATGACATTCATGCACGAAGCTAAGCGACCAAGCGAAATAGAACAGTACACAACCCGAAAAAATCGATCGCAAGTCGTGACGGGCTGTTCGATGTCAAAGGAGAATTCTGGACCAAGAGAAATTGGTTAAACTAATTCCTACGCGAAAGAAGCAATGATCTGTGAACTTCCGGCACATTTTATGTGTCACACAAAACACAACATAATTGCTTCATAAATAATCATTGAAGATAAATGGCAAGTACGATGTAAAGCGAGAAGAATTTTAATGCAAAGTCGAGTCGTTACGAATAACAAATAACAAAGATAATAATTATTAGTAGAAATTACATTTAATAGTCGTAAAACAATAAACACAATATTCAACTTGATTATCTTGCTAAGCTACAAAACGACTGAAAAACTACACCAACATTGATGTTTACAAGATGTTCATTCTATTCGAGTCCAGTTTTCAATTTGATTTCTCGCCGCGTAATAGATTTCATTTTCTAAAAACAGACTCGATCGACGATTGCAAGAAATGATGCCACCATGCCAGTGCGCACAGATCAATTCTTCAGCCATAAATTTCCACAGCGAGAGTCCGCGGCAGAATTCGATCGAAATCATCGGAGTTTCACACACGACACTTTTCTTCAGATGAAAATACTATACCATCGTGATACCTATGTAGCAACATTGAGCTGTGGCGAAACGACCGGCGATCTAGTAATCATGCCACGCACCAAACCACGTTGTACGTAACTCGCCGACCGAAATTCACTCCTCGTGCGATTAGGCGAGCGGACGGTTTGATATTGCCCGCCGGTAATACTGTCACGCCGGTATCCACAGACGTGGTTATAGACGCCTGGCTCTTTCCCTCTTTTTTCCACCTGCACGCGACAAGGGTGGCGGCAAGGAGAGACGCGAGGGTGGATTGCAAGAGAGAGAGAGAGAAAGAGAGAAAGAGAGAAAGAGAGAGAGGGTGGTCGAGAGAAAGAGCGCGCGACGCAACGCGCACGACGGAGTCGACGAGGATGGTGGGAGCGACGACGACGACGGCGTTGCTCGTGCCTCCAGCACACGTGAACTATACCTAAATGCCGTGCGAGTCGCGTGGCGTAGCCAAGCAACGCGCGTGCCATGCCCGCCGCCGCTGCCGTTGCCGCCGCCGATAGTCTCCGGCGAAACGGTACTAAGGACGGACCGGGGGAGACTTTGCCCGACGCGGTGCGGAACCGTCGTCGACGTCGTCTCCTCGCGTCGACGCCGAGCACCACGCCGCGGTGATCAACTAGACGGACGGTGGAGCCAAAGGATTGTCATCGATCGCCAGGAAAAAAACGGTATCGTAGATGTTCAACGAGCGGCCAACCGATCGACTGACCAGGTCAACCAGGCTCTGTTGTGCACTGAGAAAAAGGTCGGTTTCGTTTAGCAAATTGACACTTGTCACGAGGCAAACAAATATCAAGTAAGGTTGAAGGATGTCATTGCAGCACATTTTTAGGAACAAATTCGCTTTCTTCAAAAACTTCTTCAAAACTTGTGAAAAATATTAATTTTAAGCTTGAAAAAAATTGAATTTTAATTATATAAAATAAATGACAAACAATTTTACAATGCACCAGTTAACAAAATGTCTTATTGGTTTTACTTGGGAATAATTAAATGAAATTAATCAAATTAAGAAACATAAAATATATATAATAGTAATAATGATACAAAGAAAATGGTGATGTATTTTGTTCACTTTAGTTTTTAAATTAATTTTTATTAATTTAACTTTATTCGAAATTTATTTTATTGTATTTGGCATCAAGCCAATTACAATGCTTTTATACAAAAAATTATTTTTTGTCAACATATATTTAAAAAATAAGCACATGTCAAAAACAGAAAAGCATATAAAATATTAAATAGTATGTTTGATAATAAGAGCAATTTGTATACAAAATCTAATTCTAAAGCGAATCTTGAATTGGATGATTAAATAACAAAAGAAAAGAAGAGAATTGAGATAATTTGAAATGAATATACTTTATCAACTTGAATATCCTTTTTATTGTCAATTTGGATATCCTTCTTAATGCTTGTAAAGATCATATTCTGCATAGACATATATTGCTATTAATATTCTATAAGACAACATATCGTCCTGTTTATGCCAAAACTACGGATGTGCCAATTTTCCGATTTTTTACTAGTATTATTTTCTTACTCAATTTTGAACACAGATTCTATGCCAGAGACGCGAATGCGATAACAATAGTAAATCCGTGCTTGAATAAACTGAAGGAATTACAAGAATAAAACAAGAACCTGATTTTTCGGAGCAAATTAAATTGCCAAATAGCAATAACTCTAAACTACAAAATTGCATATTTGTGGTTTTTTGGCATAAGGGTATCGATATCTACCCTCCTACACCACTACACGTCCAATTTAATTGCATTTTAATCGAACGTAAACATTTCCTCGATCGCAGAACCCCCCCACTTTAATCTGCATGCAAGCTGAAAAGATCGTCGATAACAATGGCCAAGGTCGATAGTAATAACAACTGATACCCGGAGGTCTTATCACAAATTCCTACCAAACCTCGTATTCCACGAGCGACTATTTAATTCTGTCGTCGAGATTAATCGCGAAGTATCTTCAAAGCAAATCGTACTATCCTCCTCACAATACCGGCGTCTAACGATAAGTATGCCATGAGTAATCGTGAGAAACACTCATATCCACCTACTATCGTGAACGTGACATCATATGGCAATGATCATCCTCCACATTTGTATTACAACACCGTGCATCTCTAAGATTAAATTTATTCTTCATGTCTGAAACGCATCACGACGGCATTCTTATGCGCGCGTGTCGCAGCGTTGAATTGTAAAATGACATGCTGCTGCACGTTTCTACGGAGAATCGTCGGGTGTCCCAAGGATCCTCACATAGTATTGAACATCGTAGTCACGACAATGTATCAATTTTCACGGTATAAAAATTGTTCAGTCGTGTTACAAGGGTGGCGACGCTTCGATAGCAAGCAAGTAACAGCAAATACGAAAGCACAACGCGATATTTCATAATGCGATAACACGTAACCGGTAACTTTCATTGTTCGTTGTTAAATGCAAAAACACAAGAAGTAGTAATCCGTGGCAGATCATCAATTCATACAGTAGATATAAGTATACACGTATTCGACAGATTTTCAAACCTGTTCTTCTTAAAACTTTACCGACTAAAAGCCTATTAATCAATTTTTTGCCATACTTAAAAAAAATACTAAAAATATGAAAGTTATTCAAAGAAAATAAGTATATTTAATTTACGATGCAAATATTATTTAAAAAATAATGAATTAATATTATTGATATACAGAGTGACCTATTATAATCTTTTCACGCACTTATCTTCCGAACTATTCGTTATTCGAGAAAATATTTCAAGCAAAATTTATTCTGTTTCGAGGGAACATCTTATGATGGACACGTTTTTTTCTAGGCAGAGGTGTCCCTGAGATTTCAAGATGAAATTTTGAAATCGTATTTTCAAATAGAAAGGGTATGTTTTGACTTAGGGGATTCAAATTCTACGCAAAAAAATAAGACTTTTTTACTCTTGTCAATTTTTTCAAATTCCCCCGAATTTTTTAGTTATAGAGAGTCTTCAAATTTGCTTCACAAAATGCAATGTAGCTCCGGCACTAAGTAAGATCATTAAATTCTAAAAAAAGATTCGAAAAATGCATGTCAAGGACTTTTTAACGGTAGGTCACATCGTCCAAAATGGGAGAGAAGTGTTTACATTTGTAAAGTCCTGACGAAAGCAGGTGCCAGATTTTCCTTGGTGAAAGACATTCATACTATGACCTGATAATCAAAAGGGTCTGTCGTAACCAACCGAAAAAATTTATTCCAAAACTTTGACGTAGTGTTTAGCAAGAAACCACCTTATATTCATATATACCACGTTTTCCACCGCAATCTATATATATCAAGAGAGGTCAGTAAATATCGCTTCAGTTTGTTGCTATCGTTATCACAAGTTCTCTAATAATAGATGTTAATAACTCTATCGCGAACAAGATATAAAATTATTATCATTGAAAATAACTGTTTAATTATAGATAAATAAAAATTCGAAGAAAACGTAATTAATCCGAGATCCAGATTAATTGAAAATGTAAATCCAGAGAGGTAAAACAGATGCGAAATCAATAGAAAACCGGACAATAAAAGGATCAAATAAGATAAAACAAACGTAAATTTGAGTTTTTTTTTTTTTTTTTTTTTTTTGTTAACGCCAGCAGGATCAACATTTATCCCCAGTCGTCAATTGTTATTTTTATAGTCACTGTTTTGAACCTTTTTTCTCCTGCTCATCGAGTTTTACAATGAAAATTCTCCAAGCATTATCCCGTGATAGAGTCGGCTTCGCCCGAGTCGCGAATCGACGAGCGTCGGGCTGGGGTGCGTTCGATACGAAATGGGAAAAAGGTCGACGTGGTTTTGCGTAGCCAAGAGCGTACCCACCCACTCGCCACGCCGATGAAGGCACCCACGATTCTATATATAGAGCGTATAAGCCATATATGGTATACATGTATGTCACATGTATGCCTCCGACGCATTCTCTAGTCGATACACGCGCAATCACACAGAACGATGTTAGATATATTTAAACTTACGATTTTTATTTATACAATAATCACTGAAACTCATGAGCAAATCAATAAGCAAGTTTTGCTCCGTAAGTAACAATTACAACGCATTATAACGCGTTGCTACAATTCACCGCGCTAACAATAATTTGTTACGCACCGTTGAGTTTTGGAATTTAAAGTTTGAATTTTTCTCACTCTTAGCTAATAAACTGATTTTATTCAGGAAAATATCGAGTATGAAAAAACATTTTCATAACTTTGAATATAAAAGTCTATTTTATTTAATTAATGTGTCATTTTTTGATGAAATATTAATTGTCCAATAAAACACAATTTGATAATGCGTTATAATGACCGTGCTGACAATGATAATAATAAAAAGTTGATAAATCGATCTTATAATCAATGAAGCATGGAGTATCGAGTAGAGAAACGCGTCCGATATATAATACATACGCCTACGATGTAACGTGATAACAAAGACTTGTGTAAGTTAACTTGGAGAATTCTCAAGTGCTACTAAATTAAATTAATTCGAAGTAATTTAATTTATTTCTCACAATTGCCTTAATTAAAGATGCTAATTAAAAGCAGCGGACCAATTATAAGTTGCCTTAGAAATAACATAAAGGAGTTTATATTCGCGCACGGAAATAGAAAGAGACTTGATACTTACAAATTTTTCAAAAACGAAATAATATCGTTAAACTAAAATTGATCGAGAAAAGCGCGACTTTGCCAAATTTCGGTGAACATGTTGAAATTATTTGCTCGATTTCGCCGATTAAATACACCGCGACATGTTAAGGAGTGAAATTTATGCACAAGTATGCGAGTTAACTAGGCGCGCATAATCTTCGTTACAGTGATGGAGGAACTAATTGGAATACGGCAATATGATAACTCCAATTAGCGAGTTGCAGACGGTACATGCTTTCCTGCAGCTACATATATGCAGTTTCCGTTTATTTATCTTGATCCTAGCGTCTTAAAAACTGTGAAGTCGTTGGAAGTAGATTTGGCTTGTCTCTAAACTTTTTGACCAAAAGCTCTCCAGATAATCGAAATCCTTGATATGAATAGATATATGGGAAAAGTACTTCACACTTTCAAGATGTTCCATTTTCAACGAAATCTAATTACCATAAAATCGAGCAAACTAATAGAGTTTTTCAACTTAAAAAGACAATACGGGACTTTAAAACTTCTCGCGAAAAATCAATAATTGTGCGACGATAGTTTTACATAACATTTTTTACACCGAGTTTTCTTTTTCGTGAAAAACTATAAGTTTAAAAAAAATTTATTATTAAATTACATGTCAAGAAATACGATTCTATAAGCAATGCAATTAATTAATGACATTGATTAATTAGCTTTCGCAATGCAAATTATCTACATAATATATCTAAAAAATAATGTGATTAATTTTTTAGGCAAACGCCATCTACTTACACAATTAATGACACATTTTGAAATTTCACGTTTAATTTAATAAGTCAGAAAAGTAAACGTAAAGCTTCGAAATGCCATTAATTATCAGTAGATAACGCTTACGTAAGAAATTAAAAAAAAATCCCGTTATTTTTCAACACATTGTATAGATAAACAATTGAACAAAATGTACAAATTATATTAAGTAAAAATAAGTAAAAATTAAACTAATATTTGAAACGCAATATTAGATATCTGTTATACAAAAGATATTAATAAATTTTAATTAGCAAATGCGGCTGTGCTCCTAGATTATCCTTTTAACCGTGATATGACGACGCTAAGCGTTAATGTTGCATGTGTAATATCTGACGTGTTCTAAATGTTTGAGCCGACATCGATCCCGCTATTATAACATTTTGTAAAAGTATGCGATAGGCTGTTGACAACGCTGTCACGTTGCGACATCGCCATGCAATAAAACGTGAATAAACCGAGTAAACCGGTGTCGGTACGTCAGAGATCGTGTAATACGAGGATTCAGTTAAATTTGAAACGACTTTTGCCATCGCGCGACTTGGCCGATTGCTACGTCGCAAAGAAGTGTTGCATGAATTTACGTTGTCGCAGGTGCGCGAAAATATTCCGGTGAATAATTCGAGAGTTACGCCGGCCTTCGGAAAAAAGTTGCGACAGTAAAGACAGGGTTTATACGGCTACGACTTTAATCCGATTTAATGCTAAATGTCGCCGGGTCATTATCAAGGAAAAAACCGGTCCATAAGATACGACGGGCTTCATTTAGAACGGTAACTTCATGATGGTAGTTCGATGTCGTTGACGCTGCGAAGAGAAATAAAACGTGCATAAAGAAAATCGCGTACAATTGATTGCTCTTTGTTTTGCGGCGAAATTTAAATAACGATGTGTTTTGCAAATTCTTGCAACTTTGCGCTAAAGTGGATAACCAGCTATGGCACCTTTTTTTTGTGACGTTCTGATATTTTATCTTCAAGCCTTATTAGTATATTTATATCTTGTTATATTTCGTGATTAAAGTTCTGGATATCGTTGAGAGTCCATCCTTTTGCACGCGCAATACGAGCGTACGGACGAGAGCGGCGCAATTTGAAGTAGATCAGGAGCACGGATGCGTTACGAATGCTATACTTAAAGTCATGTACAGACTATAAAACATTTGCCATAACTGCGTCCTTCCCGCTTATCTTCTGCCTCGATTTCGTTACAAAAGCTTGTTACAACTCAGAGTTCGGTTCGAGGCCAGAAATAGTTATCCAAAGGAAGGCCGAATCGGACAGAACGCTGAGCCGAACAGTGATTTGTGCGAAACGCTGTTACGGCAAATGGTCTATAGTCTGTATGGCTTAAGCTAGGAATAGACCATAGAATATTTGCCGTAACTGAACAGCGTTTCGAATAGAACACTGTTCGGTTCAGTGTTCTGTCCGATTCGACCTCCCTTTCTAACAAATAGATTTTGTTACGAAACCCGTACACTATCGAACATGTTACAGTAATCTGTTCGAAACGCTATTCAGTTACGGCGAATGTTCTATAGTCTGTACCTAGCTTGAAGGGAATGATGGAGTGACAGCCGAACTTCAACGCGAAAGTGCCGTCATTTAAACTAAAAATGATATTGACATTACCGACGTATTATCCGTGTATATGTAGTATTTGTTTGTGTTTATAATTCACTACATTGACGTGTAATCAGTATGTATGTGTCGTCAAATAATCTGTAAATGACGCCCGCACTTATTTCCTCGATCGAAATTTTATCGCAAGGGTGCATATAATGTACGAAACAAGTATATACAAGGTGTCAAATAAATATGAACTAAACACGAAAAATATTTAAAAAATATACGTATAATACTGTACATTTAACTGGAGAAAAATGTCATATGCTTTCTTTATTTTTATCTTTATATAATAAATACAAAATTAATTAATACATACATATGCACGCATATTGAATACAAAGTTATCTTTATTTTTTATTTTATACAATAATGACTGAAATAATGAGTATTTATTACTTCAGTCATTGTATAAGATACAATTTTTCTCCAGTTAGCTGTATAGTTTACACACACACACACACACGCGCGCGCGCGCGCGCACAATCTCTAGTAGCCCTAACGCTTTTTATTTACCGTACGATTATTGTTAAATTGCGATTAATATAAAAATATGTATATAACAATACAATAATTGTATGAACGATAATGCAAATCACTTCCACAAAATATTTTTCAAAAAGTAATTAATAATGACTGAGCAAAGGATAATGAAAACATTAAAAATTAAAAATTTTCATTATCTATTAAATTATACTGTTATCGTGAATAAAAAAGTAGATGATAATTATCGCGTTTCAGAACAATCCATAATGAGAAGTTTCGATGACCTTGCACGATCGCCAAGCACAAAAATTTCTTGAAAAGATTTTATCAGCCCGATGCATGACATGCATAAATGACAATACTGTAGCACGATATAACTATGCCATGAGAATATTGCGCTCCAATGATACCCAGTTCAAATATAGTCAATGTAAGTCAAGGTTGTGGATTCGCAAACGAGCTCGATTAGAAGCATTCGGATACGTACGACGTTGATACTTTTATGAACTAAAAAGTATAAAATATTGGATTTATATTACGAAACGAATAGCTTCCAAAACTACGGGACATCCTGGATATAAACAACTTAAATGTCATAGATAAAAATATCGACAGCTACTGATGGCAATTCGACATAACGATTGTGCTCTGTAAGCACAATTGATGACCAGCAATCAGTCAGAAATATAACGTACACTTATAACCATAAAAACGTCATTTTGCGAACGCTACATTAGGCTACATGGCGGGAGAGCTAAATAACGTTAATATTGCGTGACGTTCTGACCTCCCGAGATAATCAAGTAGATGCATAGGTGGCTGATTAAGTTAAATGCGCGACTGGATGATGGTCGGTGACTATACAGATCCGAATAAGGCAGAGAAGATAGGTTGTCGTAACAGTTGATTAGGTTGATAGCTGGGATGTTTAGCTATTATTACAAGTAATTGCAGCTATTGAATACTCTTTAATAAGATATCAATTAAATTCACTTGAACCAAAAACAGCATGATCAAGCGGAAGTCCCCCTCCCCCTCCTTTCTCTCAATAATTAAACGAATAAAAAAAGATCAGCAGACGTATATTAAAAAATAAATATGATATTTGACAATTGTGTCCCCTGATCGTAATTATTTTATAACAGGAATAAAAATTAATTGACTACTACGATATAAATAACTCGAGTAATATACGCCATCGAATGATTTTTTTGCAAACAACAAACTGCACATAACAGAACAGGATTAAGTTATCAGAAAAAATATACAGCACCCATTGTGTTGTTAAAATAATTTCATGATAATTTTATGCTGAATTTATGTTATTAAAATTTTAATATTTTTTTTATTTATAAAAATAAGAAATATTCTGATGTTATAAATTGAGAGAAATAAATCCGAGTGGCAAAATCTTTGGCCACATTTTACGAAGCAATAAATCTTGTGCAAATTTTAAATGCGTTTGAAATATAAATCTCATGTCATATAATTTCATATTGTAGACTCACCTGTAATTCAAGCGACCTCGCAAATTTCCTCATCTAACGTCCTTCATTTGTGTAAATCTGAAACAGACGACATATATTCCCATTATAAAATCTCAAATGATAAGATTTCGAAGAGTAATCTTGTTTCTCGTATAAATGTACATTTTCATGCTACTTAAAGCACGCTATGTTTAGTATCGATTTATGTTAAACCCAAGAATCATTTAAAATTCAGCGAATTAACAAAATAGCGAATTTACTAAATATTATCAAAAAAGTTTAGAAAACATGTTTACGCGATTGAACTTTTATTAACACATTAATAATGTAAAAAACACGATTTTTAATTACAAAGTTTAAACAATAGGTATAACACTAAATTCAAGTTTTTTTCAGCAAGTTCAATAAATTAAAAAATTTGTGAACAGAATGGAGCCACAATAAAAGTGTAAAAAAATACGTGCCAAGTTAAAAGAATAAAATTAAAAAATATAATATAAAAATAATATAATAAAATTGTACAGAATATTATATAGAAGTAACAAAATTATACAGAATATTAAAGAGCAAAAATTTGTTATACATTTCATAAAAATTGTCATGTTCCAGATCTGAGACCCGATTTGGCCGCAAGAACCTTCCGAGCGATCTGGCTGATCGTAATGCAAAATCGATCGTGCTCAGGAAGGAAGAGAAAGAGGTATGCTGGATGGCTTTCCTGAGAAAAGGTGTCCGCAAACAATAAATTCCTTCTCGAAATGATCGACGGCCATCTCGGAGAAGCACGGATCGTCTCGATTTTCGATGTACTGCGTAATCCCGTGAACGATAACGATTGGCATCGGCACGCATGAATATCATTGATCTCGAACCACGCGATCTCTCCACGCGAGCCTAACCAAGCAATAAAAAAGAAAGAATTATAATTTCCCGGAAGGGAAATATAATTAACTTGTGCTATGCGAATTAGCGACGTTATGACACACAAGTTTCGATACTATTTGCAAAGATAGAAGTAAGACACGATTGTAGGATCGTCATACTAACGAACGGGACAACGATAAGGACACAATAATGCACAAGATAGTGGTGATGGCCGCAGTGCAAAAAGCCCACAGCTATCATAACAACAGCAACGCTCCAGGGGATGCAGGTAGCGCCCAGTCGGAGTACAACGGCTCGTCGTCGACCAGCAAGAATGACCGACTTGACACGGATGTGCACGGCAATGTTAACATTCTCCTTGGCGGGTGAGTAATCGGGCCGGCCGGGCATCACATATGTTAATAATACAGCACGAAAATACAAACAAAAGACCTAACGACGGGCACACGTCTGACGAGACGCAAATTTCTCGAAGAATCTTCATTTTTCACACACAATCCTGATCCCTTAATCCTTTAATAGACTACAGTTCGAATGTTAAATAATACATTCCATGTATTAAGACACGAAAAAGTTTTATGAATATGTTAATTAAATGTTAATTAAATGAATGTCGTAATAGCGAATCGGCAACGATGCATGCGTCAAAGATAAAATACATATCTGTTTCTGAAATGATTTGCCGCGATAAAATTCTTCGCACAAATGTTCAAAATAATAAATTCCACATATTGAATTCAAAACATGTGATTAAAATATTATGTAAAGATTTTACTTACGCAATGTTTTTTGCGCAATTGCCATAAAAAAAGTATCCGTCGAAGTGTTGCGGGTGTTAAAAAATTAATCATATTCCACCATAAAAATTGTTATAACCTCCCGAGAAAAATTGTATGTTCACTTTTTCATTGTAGTCACTTGCTTTTTATAGCAGCCACGTTCTTTCCCCTCGGACACACGGGCACCTTTTTGCACAAAAAGCACTGTCTAAACATCGTCTATATTGATTCGCTTTTAGCGCCATGATCAGTGGTGTGATCATGATGGTGGTACTCATATGCTACTGCTGTCACAAGAACGTCCGGAAGCATCGACCGCAGGAATACTCGCACTATTGGAGAACCGAGCCAGACGTTCACAGTCTGGAAGTCTTCACTATGGACGCGCATGCCATGGTAAGCAAATGTTCCTTATCAAAAGACTGCTTTCCTTATATAATTACATCTAAATATCCATTGAATATTATTCATTTTCAACATTTAATTTTGTGACAAGAATAAAAAAAAAGAGTTTTACTAACTCGCAGTAAGTACTATATTTTTTTTTTTTTTTTGTTAAGCTTTTCGTATAAATCCGTTCGAATAAACTCATTAAAATTGATAAGGATGTATGACATAATAATTAAAATTTCGTGGAATAGAGAAAATATTAGGAATAAGAACAAATATTAAATATTAGGAAGAATTATTTGAAATGATTTTACTCCAAACAAGGGAACAGAAAGGATTAATTATTTCTAATTCTTATTCCCTAATGCATTTTATTTCATTATACATTAATCCATTTCATTTTCTTGTTTCGAAATAAAATATAATTTCAATTTCCTAATACTTAATTATTCCTATTCCTGATATTTTCATTATCGTGCGTTTGGCTTTATGGCACGGAGCGCGCACATGCGAAGTTTTCGGTGTCTGTGCTGGGTATTTGTGTTGCCGCGTAATCTATTGTCTCGATTTCACAACTCTCGTTAACATCATGTTTGAGTGTTTCAAAGATACCTGATGAGAATTATCAACATCGACCGTAACTGAGTCTTATCTTTATGCTATTGATATGCTTCTAATATACTTTTGATGACTTAACTTATGCAAAAAGCATTTTATTGTTTTCGGCATCAAATATCTCCATAATAAGTTCTCGTTTTCCAAATTTTCCATTATGGAATTTATGGAAGCATCCCATTAGAAGGGATTCTAACAATACTTTTTATTGGCTTTCAAACCTCTTTATGGGTAATGTTACAGGAAAATTAAATAAAAATTCACATATCTTGCGGAAATCGCGCTCTTTTCGCGTTACACATAAAACTACGACGCAAGAACATCGGTTGATATCGTACGCCGCAATGCGACATTATGCATATTTCATACTTTTAACCAGATCATCAACGTCACGCGTGATAAAACCCAAAAATAAAATATAAAAAACAATTGAGCAACAAAATATTACAATATACGATAGCAAAGCGCAAAAGCCAATTGAAATTTGATTCATTAAAAAATAGAAAAACGCAAAAACAATGATTTCATTGAACGATAGTCCTACATCTACCATCATGATTGATTGTCGATAATATATGAGAAGTGTATAAAAATGTGTTCGCTCTTACCACGCTCTTAATACATTATTCATCCTGGATGAAATCATGCTTGTTTTCCATTTCTCATATTATATTCTTGTCTTTCATTTTCATACGGTTTCTTTAACGATACCGTTTCTTTTCTTTTCTAGCAGTGCCTTGAGAGATCGGCAGGAACTCAGACTCATCAAGAAGAGGGAGTGCCCGTGTCTCTTCCGCCGTGTCCCGTGACCTCTGGCCCGCCGCCGGCTTACGAGAGCCTCATCTTCGACCCTCGAGCACTGCTCTCGCCGACCGACAAGAAGGACGAATCTGGCGATTCCGATATTATCTCGCCCTCGGTAGGCAACCTGCCCAGTGAATCAGAAGCCAACAGAATCAACAAACGGGAAGAGGTTCCAAGTAACGATCAGGGTTTGCCTTCGTACGAAGCCGCTTTAAAATTAGAAGCTGACGGTTACGTCTAAAAGCCGAGCGAGAATCGGAAGTCCGCTGCGATCGCGGATCTTCTGTTGAAAATTTCGAGGATGCAAAACAAAAACTACAAAGCTACGGATATCAGGGTGAAATTTTGTAAAATGGAAAAGTCAACTTAATGATCGTCTATCGACAATTATCGTTCGCAGCTGAAATCAATCCCGAAAGCATCTTTGAAAGCCGTCCTTTCGAACGACGTGAAAAGCTGAGATTGATTCTTAATTGTGAAAGTGAAAAAGAAAAATACATAAGTGGTTGAACTTATTTTCCACTTGGACTTACAAACTAGAAATAGATGTGAAATAAGTTTCGACATAATTATTGAAGAATTTCAAGAAACTATTTTTTTCTATAGGCTTAATTTAAAATGTATAAGACTATATAGGTGATTTTATAATCAAAAATAGAAGACATAAAAGAATAAATGACAAAATTTAACGTGAAAGTTCGATTATGAATAAAAAATAAGAAAAAATTGTATATTAATAATATTCTGAGATACTACTTTTTCTTATTTTATAAGAGAATTTTGAATAATTTTTAGATTCTCGAATAAAAAGCTACAAAAGACCCCTGCTCAGCTTGTCCCTCCACCTTAAAGAAATAAACAAAAAATAGTTTTAAGAAAAAACTATTTATATTTGCAGAATGTGAAAATGTGCAGAAGCTGAGAAATAATTTGAAGAAAAAACTATTTATGAGCTTTCAAATTAAACCTTTTAAGCTCATCGCACAGAACAGAAGTTTTTTGCAGGAAAGCGTCAATATTGACTCAATCGTTTAAAAATACGTTTAAAAATAAAAATGTCAAATCGATTTTACAACCGCAAAATTAAGAACTATTTATGAGCTCTAAAAACATTGTAATTTCTTGAATAACATTCAAGAGAAAGGTATTAGAAAGAAAATGCATATGCAAATTCCGATTATTGAACTGCAAATTCTTTGTCAAAAAATCATATCGCCCCCACACACAAGAAAAAAACTATAATTAAAGTAAGACAAAGCAACTACTTCACAATTAAACATTCTTTATACCGATTTATGAGCTTGTAAAATATGCGCATTGTGATTGTTGAGCATGTCTAATCAAACGCGTTCTTTTTTTCGAAAAAAACGAGTTTTTATTTTTTGTACACAACCCTGATCCCTTAATCTTTCATGGACTGTGATTCAAATGTTAAATAATTCATTCCATGTATTAATATGCAAAAAAAAAACGATTTGTAGAAAGACAATGATCAAAAATGCGATTTTAGTTTTGTTTAGAAAACGTAGAAAAAAATAAATTTGTGTAATTTAAATTTTTTTGAGAGAACTTCAAATCCATGTAGGAACCTGTATAGGAACTTATTAAATTATTAAATAAATTTATAAGTAAACCACCATGACGCTTACAGAATTTTATTGTAATGTAAAGTTAAAAAAATGTATAATAAAAATTGTTTAAAAACAATATCTAAATAATCAAACCTTGGTCAATATTTGCTATACTGGACTTGTTGTATGGCAATTGTCTAATTAATATATAAAAATATTCTATTTAAATAAAACTAGTTATCGGCAAGTATATAAATAATTTTTAATTCAATAAACAACGCTGTGTTAAAAAAAATGTAAGTTCGTAATATTTCAAATAATTATTATTGATTACATGCACTTGTTTCTAGGCTTTACAAGACTATGTTGAAGATGTTTACGAAATGTATGTGTTTATGCAGCAGGTAAGTGATTGGTTACATAAATAGAAAAGATCGTTTCTCTTCAGGTTTATCATCAAGTTTCAAAAAATATTTAAGGCTTGGTAAAGTCTCATCAGTCTTAAAATTCGCAGCACTATCATCTTTTCGTACTAATACTTAAAAATTAACGCCGTGGCCATCGCCGTTTACCCCAAATTATCATACGATATTGAGCAGTATTATTGGAGCAGTATTGATTATCAGTATTGATCCAACATTCGCCTGATTGTATATTTCTGTATGGTCGGTAACTTTATCACGTAACCTGCGAGAAATAAAGTCAAACTGAAAATAATTCCGCGGTCTGATTACAAATTCAGCAACGAAATACGAGATTCTCATAACGAGTTCGCACGGAAATTCCTAATTGCTAACGATACAGCATGTACGTTACGTGTGCGGTTCACCTAGATGTGTTGTAATTAGATTAGATTTGCACAGAATAATCCGCGTTTACATTTCCATTTGCAACAATACGTGGAACTGTGTCACTTGTTCCGTTATCAATTTAGTCAGTCACACGACGATACACATATTTCCGCAGATAACTCGGATATTTGTTATACACGATTCTCTTTCAGAACGTATAATGCTGTTATGATATAATAGAAACTGAAGAAGGAAAGATAGACGTGTAATATAATGTGATAATGTTATGATAACAATTAAAAATGTATTTTGAAAAAGAAAAACATTAAATTTACGTAAAAGTAATAATTGATAGTAACACAAATTAAAAACTAAAAAATTAAATTAATTTAAATTAAATTAAAAGTCTCTCTAAGCAGTGCAAAAGCAAAAGCTCGTCGAAGTTTGGAGGAAACTTGGAACAAAAATTTAAAGTTCTTTCAACTCTCTTGCAAGTTTAAGTATTGACAAAATAATTTAACATTTCTTCAAGATTAACTATCGCTCGTATTGAAAATTACATAAAAGCAAAGATAAATAAAATAAAAGAAATGCCACGCGTAATTCTTTCCAAATAAATTTTTTTTAATTCTTCTTTATTCACTCATCAACTATGCTGTCGTGCTTTCCTGCATGACTCCTCAGTGAGTTTCAATCGACCGTTAAATATGGTACTGTTTGATGCTTGTGTATGTGTACACATGCATTATTCAATAATCATTCAGCGATCGATCGGGCGAAAATAAAATAATGCGTTTCGTTCTCTGTCCGTGTCCAAATAATCCATATGTATTATATATTGAAACTTTGAAGTGTTTAGAAAAATAATAGAATCGCGGTGAACGTAAAATAATTATCGACACATAGAATAATAAGGATAGAATCGAAAGTACCAATAACGCGATTTATTTCATTGTCCTCAATTAAAGCGACCTTTACTTTTATACGTCTGGATCAAAGGTGACGACCGTGATGTTCGCTGACGAACAGTCATTTGCTTTTAGCTACGCACGAAAATAGCCGACAAAATTACGAAATGATTAAAATGCGTAATTGCGTAAATGTGTAAATGTAAATTAAAAAATTTTATTTATTAACCCTTTACAGTCCTTTCTCGAACACCAAATGAATTTCGATAATTATAATTTAATTCTAAGATTTCAAAGATTAACGTAGGGACTTCGTTATAATTTAAAGTATAATGACAGTACTATTATAAACAGAAGGGGATTAGTGACTGAAACGTTTGTTAAAATCAATGAATAAAGAAAGTTTAGCAAGATCTAGCGGCCTCAGAACTCATTTTTTCGATTTTGATTTTATAATCTATTAGAACCTGTCAAAATCACTATATTCTTTATTATTCTTCTTATTATTTCTTTATCTACGCATATTTTTTAATATCTTCCGTCGAACAAACTAAACAATGAGATTATAAAAACCGTAACAATATACGTTGTTAAATATAAATGATGTATGTCACATTGAAGCTAATGTAACCCAATTTATTTTTTTATAAAACAGTATCCATATTAGTCGAACTTTTTCGATGACCGTGGATACTGCTACTGTAAATAATACGTACGTGAGTATATATTACCATGTACACGTTTTTATGCGTACAAGTTCAATCGTTCGCGAGCATTACGTCTATTACAAATTCAAATTCAAGAGATAATTACAAGTCTCTTATTATGAAACAACGTTACGTATTCTCGAAGATACTGTTGATGTTATGCATGTCTAAACAATCGCAGATTAACCCGCTTGAGAACACGTTAAGCACATTTATAAACAGGCCGGAGGATCATTTGAAAGTCTTCCATTACGTTTGATGCAGTTCACCTAATGGGATATTTAAATTAAAAACGGCTTCTTTTAGCTTCAACGCACGTTTCGCGCTCATTCGCATCAACACGTGTGCTTTATATATCATACAAAACTATGCATGTCACAAAAATAAAAAAAAAAAAAAATTGATAGAAGAAAGGTTATGAAAACCAAAAGACGGATGTTAGGTTGCAAAAAACTTAGAAAAAAATAAAAATGATATTCGACTATATTACATCAAACATATTCTCATACATGTTAAATTATTTTTACGTTTACTTATTATCTCAGTTAAAATTAATATTTACAAAATATTATATGTAGAGACAGATAAAATACCAGTGTAGGAAATTATGAAATACAACTAATAATTATTGTTGGTAAACTAAAATTATGGAAGACTTCCGTTTAGTGATAAAAATGTGAACAATTTTGTCGAAAAAACAATATTATTAATAACCCAAATTATGAATATTACAGACAAACTTTTTACATGCAATTAAAAATATTCTATATTGCAATAAATAGCTTTTCTCCGTTTACTGTTCGAATTTCAACGCGTTTCAATCAAATTAACTGCTGCAATTATATATATATTTAATTATAAATCCATTTATTAAAAAATTGTTAAAAACAAAACTAGTATTTCTCAATAATCAAACTATTGCGTAAAATAATAAATAAATATTTCACGACACACAAGTAGTTTTCCAACGTATTTGCATAACTTAATTAATTTTTTACTTAATTTAACTTAATTAAATATATTTTCAATGATTTAATTAATTCTTTTAACACATTTTCAATAACTCGTGCAATTCTGTATCTTTCGCAATCGATACGAAAATTATCTTATCAGCGTCACTGACATCTTGCAAACGTAACGTGATCAGTACATAATACTGTCTATAAATACAATCATTAAGTTAACAATAATTAAGTTATGCAATTAATGACGTGTCAGCGGTGATGTTACTGCGAAGAAGATCCGTTAGAACACCGATTGATTGATAATGACTACGATTTCATTAAAATCTTATTTAAAAATCTTATTTAAAATTAAATCTTAGTTAAAATCTTATTTAAAAAGAATTAAAGTTAAAAGCGGAGAGACAATAAATTTGATCCGAGTTTGTCGTTGATATTAACACAAAAAAGCACAATTTAATTCCCGCCGATAAACTCGGTAATTAAAGCATAACAAGAGACAGCGATTGCAAAACAGTGTAGAGTAAACGGATAATAAAGTGTAGAAAGACAGTATGTCACATCATAATGATGTTGATAGCCGGATAATACATCATCGAACTATTGTAACCATGCAAGCGACAGATTTATGACATTAGATATGTAAATATATGTGTACTCGTAAAAGACAGTCAGCACCGCGCGGGTAAATCACTTCGATAAATTGTCAGCCAGATGTGCTATCTATTATCGATATTGCAAAAGAGTGGAAAAGAAGAGGGATGGAGGGGGAGATAGAGAGAGATAGATAGATAGATAGATAGATAGATAGATAGATAGATAGATAGAGAGAGAGAGAGAGAGAGAGAGAGAGAGAAAGAGAGAAAATAAGAAAAAGAATTAATATAAATATATTAATTCTTTTATGTAGTATAGTTATGAAGTATAGTTAAATAAGTTGTATCCTGCGAAAATTAACAATATATGCTCGCGCTATAAACTTCGCGCCGAGTACATATTTATTTCGTTTTTACTTTGTGATGATTCAGCTGTTGAGTCAGTCGATACTACTGTCGATGCAGTTATTTCATAGCAAAATTTCAAAATAAAAGTAACTGCGTAAATGATTTAAATATCATAAAAATGTGAAATATATATATATATATATATATAAAAGGGATATACGGGCCTCAACTGGGTGTCAGTGCTAACGATGTTTATCCGAAAAGTATTAATACCAAAACAAACGATCTATTGTCTGGCCATCTTCAGTATCTCTAATTTAGATCTTTTTCTAAAAAAGTGATTATCGCGCGATTAAATGATACGAAAAAGTCTAATATACATATATATAAAATAATTATAGAATAATCTCTAAAACGCATTCATCTTTATTCGTCATTATATGGCTAGGAATTAATGCCGTGTGCCGTGTGGAATAATCGCGCGTGATCCGTTCGTTCGGTTCAAACTTCATGTTTAATAAAACAACAATCAATTTTAATAAAATTCTATTTCTGATTAGATCACATTGGAAAGAACCACATATAAAATTTTATATACTTACAAAAAAGGGAATCTATATTCAAATAAGGCGAAATCGAAACAAACGGCGGATTAAAGTAGATCGTTGATAATAACATGACTCTCAACATGTCAAAAATATGAAATATTAGACTATAAGAAATGTGTAAATACAAAAATAGTCATAAGTCAACAGACGATAATTTCGAAATAAATTCTGAAAATAATTTTTTTTGAAATATCATCAATCACCAATATTACGTAATTCAACAAGTTTCAAATATAAGATACAATATGTAAATTAGGATATAAATTAGAAAATTAAGAATAAATTAAAATTGTCTTGATAATAAAACGTTCTACAATGATAGTCTACAATAGATAGACAGATAGTTATAATTGGTGTAATAAGAATTCGCAGAAAATTGACAGATAATAATGTTATTATCATTATTATTTACATAAGATTAAATATCTGTTCGATAACGCCAACTGACTCAATAGCTGTCTTCAAGCTGATCACACAACTTAAACGCAATTTTCAGTTAAAATTGAGTTTAGCAAACACATGTACGCGCGCGCACACACACACACAGACAGACATTTCCAATCAAGTGTGTATAACAATCTTCCCAGAAAATATAATTTCGAAAAATTCATTTAAAAAAATTTAATTTAATTCTAATTTACAAGCCAGAATATGATAATAATCGCGCATGATAATGTTTAAAAAAATAAAAAATAAAATAGTTTTACCGAGATAAAAAAATTTATAAATCGCAAATAAGTAATAAAGCAAACAAATAATTTATAATCGCAGTTAAAAATAAAATTTTGATCTTTCAAAAAAATGTAAATAGATCAAGAAATGTTTATCTTTTAACTAATTTTTTGAGCTTTAACAGAATCTCGATTCGTTAAGGATTTATCGTCATGTCAACGCTTTTAATTGGCGTCTAATGTTTTTGAAACTTCAAATATTACGTGTAATTAAATATCAAAAAAAAAAAAAAAATTATCCTTATTTCATTCCAGAAATGTTCACTTTGTAAATGCTTATTTTCAAATATCCTGTTATTATATAGAATATTCTGCAAAAATACATTCAATTCTAATTGTAAGATACAGTTAAATAAAATTTCATTATTTCGCTAGAATACGGATCTTACACTTAAATCGTATTACTTGAATTTAATCCGATTATACTTTATGATTTAAGATTTAATTATCAAGGTATTTAGTGATGAAAAATTCCATCAAATTTTCAAGAAGAAAGTCAGCTTCAGAATAATCCAGGAATCTGTTATTAAAATTTAAGGCTTCACAGCCTCAGAGTCATTATGTGTTTTAATTATTCCCAGTCTTTCGTGATATTTTTAGCATGGCAGACTTATTTACGAGCGAGCATATGCATTTCCGTTGGTCACACGAGCTGCGTATGCTGCGATGCATTACGAATACGCGGTACAAAGTGAGTGTAACGATCTCATTGGCGAAAATGGAAAGGTGAATGGCGAATCGAGCACAGGAGACTGTTTTTCCGAAGCCGATGATTCCGTGCTGTTACAGTTATATTCTAAAACAAGCTCTTTAATAAAAGTTGAAAATATTTCTTCCAAACCGCTTTTTGCTTTCATTAGCAAAATGTCTTCAATTTGTATCATCATATACTGTAATAAATAGGTTCAAATCATAAATTTTATTCAAGTTTTACATTAAATTGTACGAGATGAATTCGAATTAAGATGACAAAAATATTCTCGATATATTGTAAGTATAGAAAAAAATCAGTTAAATCATTCAGACTTAAAAATTTTGAATTATGTTATTTTTACTTTCACTTTCATAAATACTAATTATAGTATATTATATGTAATAATAAATAAAAAAGCAAAGTAAGTGGCGCAAATATCTTTCTATTAATTCTGACATTAATTCTGTATGCATAAAAATGCACTCAAACTTAATAGGACGAAGCTTTTTTGCTAGCACACTCACGTGTGCAAATAGCTGACAAAAGTACATAACATAGCTCATTTATTCAGTGAATGTGACTACAAATGTTATCTTTATACGATAATTATTTTATCATTGTCACTCTAGTCCAATATGCAAATATTACATTACGTCGGCCAAGTGACGACCAGATGAATTTATCGATTGCGTAATAGTATAGTAAAATTGGTACTTAATGACAATTGATATTCGCTAAACAATTATTCCTAAATAATGGATGCTTTCCATCACAATACAAATCGACATAAGTCAACTTTCAGAGCAATTTCTTAGTGCAATCTTATATTGAAAATCGTGTAAATACGTCTTAAGACACTAGAAATTGATAATCGTAAATTGAGGCAAAGATTTTTGTATTCCGCAATTCTGATATATTTATTTAGCGATAATTCATGTAGCAACTGAAAAGCTCATTAAAGATTTTGAATGTAAGATTGAAAAATCACACTTGAGAAGTTGATTTATATCGACTTGCGGCTCCTTGGCTGCAAAGTAACCTATCATAACAACACACTTTCGGAGCGAGAAAAAAGGTGAGCCCATCAAGGATGCAGAAACAAAGACGAACAGTGTTTCTTCCTATGTGTTTTTTTTTTCGCACTGTCACGATAAAGTGACGGACAGCGCGGGAAAGAATGTGGAGCAACGAGATACAACTGGACCGGCCAAGATAGCACAAGAACGATCGTACATCATCTCACTCACCTAACCTTCCGGCGTGATGGTCCTGTGACCGGGATGCGCGGCGCGTTTTGTCCCAGCCTACACGTAGATGAGGACGCGCGTCCTTGCACGCGCGCGATACACCGATGCACGAGTAGGGGTTCACACGCGAGTTACGCGACAGCGGAGGCATCAATGAATAGTAGTAGGAAAGACGCATGAGTAACGGTACATCTTAGCCATGTCGAAGAGTAAAAAAAGAGTGGAGAGGGAAAGAAGGAGGGTTTAAAGGGAGAAGAGGAGAGAAAGACACGATTGCGGGGAAACACGATTTAACGCGCGCATGCACCGTGTCGATTCGCGAGGACACCGCCTCGACTCCGGCTCGTTCGATTCACCCGATTACCACCGTCGCGTCCGCGTCAATTCTCAGCCGTCAAGCCATAAGCACACGCGAGATGCGAGCGAAACGAATGTATCAACACACACCTCGCGTAGTGTAGCAACTGCACTGCGCGTGTATCCAGACCCCACCGCCGTGAACAGTGTTGCTAACGCCATCGCGTGGCGATCGACTGAAAGGTGCGCGCGCATCAATTACCGATGATTGAAGAGTGGTGACATTACCGACGGCAGTGAGAGGCGTTACCATACACAAATATCATCCCGAGAATGTAACGTAAATATTCTCTATATTAAATCAGATGGCAGTGAAATATTGAAACAATTGGTGGAATAGTCGACGATTGTTGACAGTTTCTAATTATCTGTGACATATTTATTACGTGACAAACTTCTCAGATTCAGATTTACTCTTTTGCATTTGCTGTCGGTGGCATTGTGTTATTCCGATAATCGTTATTCCGGCACAGCGTGGCAGGAAATATGATAATTACCCGTATGGTCTAGGCCGCCGTTTGATAATAACATGCTGTTAATAATATATGATAAGCTGCATACGTCTGCAGGCTACTTTAAAGTAAGACACGCCGGGCTAATAAACGTCGACGGATCGCGAAAGAATTACGATCACGGAGAGATGTTGAAAGTGACACATGTGTTATCATAGAATAACCCTAACACAATTTTTCTATCTAGATTTCGTATGGACAAGTGTTTCATTTACTTCTACCGGTGTGCGATAAGATGCAGGTAAGAATATATATAATATAAAACATCTTGTATCTCTTGTTATATTTGTGACATCTTTTATATGTTGCCTTCTCACTGAATCTGAATTTTAAATAATATCTTTAGTTTAATAGGTTGATAAAAATCTCACCTTGTATTTTTTTAATTTGTGTTATCAGTATTTTTTATTGTGTTAAAAATAACGTAGATATATTTTTTGCTTTTATCTCGCACTATTCAAATAATATATTATTTTAAGAATTTTAAAAACACAAGTATAGTAAATATTTTTATTAATATCCTTTTGAAGGGGAAAAACATGTATGTAGAACTTTCAATTCTATTGTACAGGTAAAGATGATTGGAATGTATCAGTTGGGATTATATTTATTGTTATTCGGAAGCTGCATTGGCAATTATGCCAGATGGGACATACAATTGCTATGTTCGGATTTATATCCGCGAGTATTCACAAGTTATCTGCCTCGTGGAAATTTAACCAGTGGAACTTACACGCAGCAACCTCACTTGTCCACTATGCAGGACTGCGTTATGGCATGTTGCAAAAAATCTTTGTGCAATGTAGCATTCATACACAATAGCACGTGTTATCATATAGAGTGTAACAGTTCCATGATGTGCATGCCATTGTATAGACCTGAATTAGCAAACGATAATCCACCGAGCATGGTGCTGGTCCGACCTGTGGAGAATAACAAAATATGGAGCGATTTGTTAGATCAAATCGATAATACTGTTGGGTAAGTTTCAAAATTCAATATATACTTGTAAGCTAATCGTTCACTTATTAAGTTAGCCTCTTCTTTCAAGAGGCAATCAATGATGAAATGATTTTTCTTTATAATGCATTGTTAAAATTATATATTTAGGACATTGAGCACAGATGGTACCGAACAAGATCAAATATTGTTCAATGAAGAGAGCAAAATCAGTTGTATAGATCAGTCAGGTTGTCTAGATAACGAAATTTGTGTAAAACATGGAGATACAGATGTTGGCACTTGTCAATGTCCTCTGGGCTTTAAGCGAAATATTGCTGGTACGTGTAATATTTTATTTATTCATTGTGCAATTCGACAGAAGTGATCTTTTCAAGTTTTCTAATATACTAAATCTCAATTCAATATTTTTTTATTACTCGACAATTCCTTAGTGTCTTGCGCATCTAGTCTATTATTTATCCAAAATTAATTATATTTAATAATTATTTATATCTAGGTACTTGTATAATAGCGAACGAAATAGATACTGCTGAACTCGACGTGACACCGCAAGCAAAAATTCAAACTGTGAAGGATACTAGCACGTCAATTAAACCAACTATGAAGCAATTGTTAGTCTCAGCAGTTTCTAAAGAAGTGAGATTACCAGAAAATGAAGTCACATTGTCCGCGTATACTGTCCCAGCTGAACGGGGCAAGCAACATTATAATTATGCTTGGAGTCTACTTAGTCAACCAGAGGGGCACACTGGAACAATGACGGATCAGAATCGTGTTACTGTTAAATTAAGTAATTTATCGGAAGGCTTATATACGTTTAAAGTAGCTGTAAGCAGTCCAAATGCTTACGGAGAAGCTTATGCCAATGTCAGCGTTTTACCTCGTAAGTGTCGTTAGATTTTTTTGTATTAAAAATATATATTAAAAATATATCTCGCATGTTTACTGCGCTTATTACATACTACATTTTGATTTCAGCTAAACGTATCAATCAAGCGCCAATTGCCATAATCACTCCTGCTTCGCAAATTGTGAAACTACCGAATACAGGCGCAGTCTTGGATGGCTCAAACAGTAAGGATGATGATCGCGTCATCTCTTATCATTGGGAACTGCAACAAGGCCCGATTGGATATCAGCCCAACCTTCTCAATGCACCTACACTTCAATTGGACAATCTTATTGCTGGAAATTACACATTCAAGTCAGTATATGGACTATATTATATTGGGTTGTGTAATAAATAATTTCGGATTTTTCAATAAATGGTGCTGTTGTTTTTTACGCAGCATACTTAAAAAATCCTTAAAAAATACAGGTAAAGCTTGATTACAACTTCGACAAACAAATATTTAAATTATGTATTAAAAAATCAGACTGCGCTTGGCCTAATGAAAAAAAGTGGAAAAATCCGAAATTGCTTAATACACAACCTAATATTATTATCAAAACAATAATATTATTGTGTGAACGATTTTACAATTTATACAAGCGTAGTCTTGGATGGATTGTGAAAAAATTTTATTTCTCTATACGTCTCTCGCATAAAAATACATATATTTTCCTTAACGTAACATTTATAATTTTTTTTCTTTAGATTGACAGTTGAAGACTCGGATCACATTGCAAATTCGACGAGTGCCAATATAACTGTCTTGAAAGTAACCGATTATCCTCCTAGTGCAAATGCAGGACAAGATGTCATTATTTACCTGCCTCAAAATACATTAACACTTAATGGCAATTTGAGTACCGACGATCGAGGAATAGGAAGCTGGGAATGGACAAAAAGTCCATCTGATCAGAATAAAGCAGTGGACATGCAAAATACAAGAACACCTTACTTGCAATTGTCAAATCTGGAGGAAGGAATGTATACGTTTGTACTTAAAGTAACGGATGACTCCGAGCAATCTTCCACAGCAGAAGTTCACGTTTTCGTGAAACCTCCAACAAATAAACCACCAAAGGGTAAGTCATTGTTATCCATTTTTCTATTTATTAAATTTACTTTGACATTGCGCAATAAAATTTCTGTCTAAAAGTTATGTACAAAAAAAGGTGTAAAAATTGTTCTTTTTATATAAAAGAGAAAGTGCTCAAATACATTTAGTATCTTTTTGTTAAAATTGTGTCTTTTCGTTCTCTCTCTCTCTCTATCTTTACTTTAAACGATTAAAATATAGCATATTTTACATAATTTTAACGATGAGTTTTGTTGTAGCCGACGCAGGAAATAATATAACCATAGCGTTGCCAATAACACGCGCTATTCTGAATGGTACCAGAAGTAAGGACGACATAAAGATTGTCTTGTATCATTGGGAGCAAATAAGGTATGATATGTCTAATTTATTTCATACACTTCTACACACACTATATGCTATATATTTTATTATATATGCTCACGCATGTTACAGCGGGCCTAATAACGCTGATATCGGCGCAGCAAACGAGTCTATTACAAACGTTATAAAATTGACAAAAGGCGATTACGTATTCAAACTGACCGTTGTTGATGATAATGGAAACGCGGATTCAGATACAGTCAATGTAAAAGTAACACAAAGTATGTACTAATTTGCAGTTGTACTACTTGCAATTCTCCTGTATTACGATGTATCTTACAAGCAATTTCATCTTCCAGATAAAAATGCACCTCCAAAAGCAAATGCTGGTGGCGATCAAGTTGTGACAGCACCAATCAGCGCATTAATTATCAACGGTTCACAGTCTAGCGATGATTTGAAAATAGGACAATGGTTGTGGACCAGAGATCAGTCTAGTCTTGCGATTGGTACTATAGTTCAAGATACTGATAAATCATCAGTCTTAATGGTAAAATAAAAAAACTTTAAATCTAAAACTTTATTTACGCATTAAACAAGATTTTGTTATGAATACAATGTACACTACAATTTATTAATATTAAATAATATTTATTAATATTTATTTATTAATATTAAATAATATTAATAAATTGTAATTTCTTAATATTAATATTAGGATACTTTATGCCTATGATATAATTTTTCTCATATCATTAAATGTTACAAATAGTTTTTTTTTTTATAGCTAACGGATATTGTTCCTGGTCGTTATGTATTTCGATTGAAAGTGATGGATGATCAAGGTTTGAGCAGTGAAGATACTGTATCGGTAATTGTAAAGTCTGGTTGGTACAGATTAAAATAACATATCGTTACTCTTCAATATTACAATTCACAAAAAGAATAATCCTCTTTTCCTGTCTCATAGATCCACAATTGTTGCATTTAGTGGAATTAACGCTAAATATTGGAGCTAGCATGCTAACCGTTTCGCAAAAGAATTCGTTAGTAGTGAAACTACAAATGTTATTGCGGGACGAAGCTTCGATTGTAGTGCGAAGTTTGAGAGCTGAACCGCACACTGGAAAAGCTGTTTTAGTATTTTATGTGGAAAAGAAGGGAGGAAAAGTAACATTGCCGGGTCCAGAAGTAGTTAAGAGATTGAAAGAAAAATTATTGCAAGATTCCGGTCTCTTGCAGCTATCTGTTGCCAATATAGATACCGCTATATGCCAAAACAATTGTTCAGGTATTGATGTGATGTATATATTTTTATATATCTATAACATATTATTATTTACATTAAAATATAAATATCCAAAAAATATTATGAAATACTTATTTGCGCGAAGACAAACAATCGTTTAAACTCGACAATATATTATCAAACGTAGTTGGAGATAGAAATAGATTTCTATTTATAAGTTCTCTGGAATTTTAATGTTGATGGCATGCATAGGTCACGGCGTGTGCGATCAAGAAACGAGACAATGCTTGTGCGAAGCATTTTGGATGCAGAACTTAATACAGAAGTATTTTGGTGATGGAGACTCCAATTGCGGTATGTTAAATTGTTTTGTTCATTACAGTACCTAATATAAAATACATAACATCTGTCAAATTATATCAACTATTTCACATCTCAATTTAATGCACTTTTACATCTAATTTATGTAATGTGAAATCGAATTACTCAACATTACATTTTAATTGCATTTTTCTTTTTTTTTCAGATTGGAGTATATTGTATGTGATAATAGCATTGCTATCATTAATTATATGTTGGATTGGGCTTATTTGGGGACTTGTTTGCTTATGCCAAAAAATATGCGCCGGCAGAAGGCGTTTACTTCGACCTAAGAAAAAACCAGCGCGTTATTCTTTGCTACAACCGGAGCCAGAAGACGACAGCAGCGCATGTATGCAATTTCGTTTTATTGTTCAGATAAAAATTTTTCAATTTTTTGCTCTTTAACAATTGTTCTTTTGAACATACATTACATATATATTTAAAAAATCTTAATATTGAAAAAATTTAATTATAATAATTCCTCTGTTGCAGTTTCAACTCACAACAAGATGATATTATCGGAATCCGACACCGATTCCGATGATGTCTTATTTGAACATCGTAAGAGTAAAAGCGGCAATCATATAAGAAATAATAAATCTCGAAATGGATTTATTAAAGTTGGCCGGGTGAAGACATGAGGTAATAAATATGACAAACTTACGATTTGCAATATGTATACTGAATAAAGATTGTACATTTCAGAAACGATAATGATGCAATGATGAATAGCGCACAGTTGGTCTGGCCAAACTTGAAATACTAGTCATGAAAGTGTCAGTTGGCTTATGTACCTTATGGGAACCGCCTCAAAAATCAATATTAATAACAATGTTCTAAGGAGATAGAGATGGAGTCTAAGTATTGTTTATAGATATGTGAAAATAATGTCACTCTCTACGTCGCGTTACTTAATTCATCTCAAGTATTACTCGATTTTATTCTGTACCTTTGTTATGTGATTTCTAATTGTATCAATAATCGATGACGCAACGATACAGTGTCACATAATTGTCAAACTGTTTGAGAGCTTATCTAAATATTATTACGGCCTTAGAAAATATTCAAATATGTAGTAAGCACTCTGTCACGTCTATATGTCATTTATATGTACTCTTTAATATGTACATTGTCAATCTTATTTTTACACTATATGGATACTAAATAAAATTTGCTATCCATACATATTTTTCATACAATTTTCGTCACATGCCCACTTTAGCCAAATATGAAAACAACTGTCTTCGAAAAAGAAACTATTTTCAATACACAAATTGTCGCGTAAAGATTGAATACTTTTGTTTATTTACGTTCTGTGCCAGTAAAATATTTGCAGACAAGGATTTCTTTTTATATTTTACCAATTAACTAATTTAGTTATTAAAGAGACGCTCTTAGATACTGCTTAATATTTTATGTTTCAAGGCAACTTTTACGCATTCTAGTTTGGCTGGTAGCCTATGTTTGAAAACTATTTTTAACTCGCTGCGCTGTAATGACGAAGTTTCAAGTAGTAGGAGAATTTTGTGCAGACCGTTGATTCATTTTCGTATCTCTAGTTAATCACACTTCGAAATTCGTAGTAAGTTATTATTGTGGCTTCGATATCGACAATGCATTGTATTCATTGTATTCTTATTAATTGTATTTGTCATGTCAGCTTACTGTAATCGATGGATTTTCTAAGTTGTTTGACAAAATACCCTTCAAAAAGTTGCTGTGATCGCGAAACTGCGATAAGTAGCGAGCTCGGGAGTTGCGATCACATTTACGCAAGCTTAATTGAATGCAAAAATAAAGGTATAAATAAAGATTTCATTTATCTCGAACCAGTATCAATAGCGTATCCAAACAAACGGTGAGCAATAGTGTTTCCAAGTACACTTAATATTAGACAACAAAATTTTAATATTAGATAACAAAATATTAATATTAGAAACTTAAACTTAATATTAGATGATAAAATTTTAAAACTTATTATATATTTAACATAAAAAGCCTGTTCAACAAATAAATGTAATTTATTGCATTATGTGAAGTTAGTCTCAGATTATACTTTTAATGTTTGTATCAAAGTTTTACCTGTTATTACGTAACACTCCGGATTATTTTCAGTAATGAAGATTCCAGAAAAAAGCGTGCTTCTTCGCTCACAAATTCGAACATTTTTACATATCAGTCTCCCCCCTGTTTAACTAGCAAAATTGGCAGCAAAGTCGACAAAGAATCGAAAGAAATAACGTATTCCCCATACAACTTGTTGCGTGATGCAGATTTCCAATGTCCTAGATGCGAACAGAGAATGGAAGAACCTAGACTTCTGCCTTGTTTGCATCCCATATGTTTATTGTGCGTTTATCAACTAATGAATAAATGTAAGTAGAAAACTGATAAAATTTTATTTTAATAAAATTAAAAATTTATTTTTATAAAAAAATGTAATTTAAATGATATAGGCGATGTCATGGCCGATTGTACTACAATTGAAAATTATTTGATTTCTTTCATAATGGTACATAAATAAAATTGTATATTTGCATTGTATAATTGTGTTGTTTACAGCCTCGCCGCACATATTTTCAAAGAGCGACGTACGAGACAATCGTACATACGCACGAGCCGATATTCACGAAATATGTCCATTGTGTGACTCGCATTTGCCAAATGTTAATTCTTCCGTGCCGCCACCTCATTATCCCTTGCAACATCGTTTAATTATAAATACTGTGCGAGGCAAGCTGGTTAACAGAATACTATGTGATATATGCGTGGACGAAGTTCCGGTAATGCTTTAGATAGTTATTACTTTATCTCCAAATCTTTTGTTATTCTAATTGCTATTTATTTTTCATTTTCTCGACTCTTTCTTTAGTGATTATATTTCAAAACATGATTTTATATGTGTATATTGTGCAATAATAATTATAGAGAAACGTGTGCATGTCACGTAAAGAGCTAGAACGAAATATAAATATTCTACAAGAAATGTAGGGAAATACTTTATAAACTATTTGTATTTGTTATTATTGTATTGGTTTTTTTTCTTTTCAGGCACTCATACAGTGTTCTACGTGCTTGCGTAATTTCTGTTCGAAATGCGGCAAACGACACGAACAACAGAACGTTGCGGAAGCAAGATCAATTAAACATTTAATGAGACCACTGTGGGAGGCCACTAAAGTACGACGAACAATTTTATGTCAAAGACATCCAACGCACGTTTTAAAATTTTATTGCATCGCGTGTCAACAGGTTTACAAAACTCTTTTTTCTACACATGATATTTTTCAAAACAAGAGTACAAAACATGAAAAAAATCAACTTTGAACGAGTTATTAACAAGTCACGAAAGTGTGTTTTGCATCTCAAAACCTTGAATGTTTTTGTATAACGATAAAATATCAATTAAATGCAAGGAAATGTATGTAAATATAAAGATAATATAAAATTTTTAGGTGACATGTAAAGAATGCATGTGGAGTATGCAGCACAGAGGTCATGCCAGTGAGGATGCTGTCGGAGTAGGAAAAAGAGCTAGTGCATACTTGGGAATTATGTCACAAAAAGCGAAAATATGTCTAAATAAGCTGCTGATTCAATATGATCGTAATATATTTTCAAATAACGATTTGGAAGAACTAGAGGACATCGCTAAGACTTGCAAGTATGTTCAAATATAGTTTTATGCTACAAATCAGAAGTTATATGTATATAAATCACTATAGGTAAATGCGATCATACAAAAGCTTGCAATAAGCCATATAATGTTCCAAAAATTGACAAGCTTTTGTTATAGTTTACTATAATATATAGAATGTCTCAGAATAACCACGACAACGTTTGTGAGCGAATGGAGCACAATAAGCCGTACGGAAAAGTCTTTTATCGTTTTACAATTTTCGCAATAATTATGGAAAAATTAATTTAAAAAGATTGGCCAAGGAGTGTGCGTTTCACGCTGCTAGATCACAGGATGTGCGCACGGCAACGAAAGGTTTGATCGATCGACAAAAATAAAAGTAACATGCGAGCAATGAGCGAGCGGAAACTTTACTTTTCGTTACTGTGCATACATCTCACAATCTAACTACACAAAACGTGCGCTTATTCGCCAATTCTTTTTAATTAATTGCTATAATTGCAAAAATTGCAAAACAATAAAGAACTTTTCTATACTATTCTCTACTCGCTCGCGAGTATTGGTTGTTCTGAGACACCCCTATAACTAAGATGATATATCAGTATATGGGGTCATACATAAATAAATTCTCATTAATATAACTATATTAGAATACATTATTGTTACATGTAATTAATATGTGAATAATGAGGAAAAGAAAAAGATATAATGAAATAACTGTCATTTGAGGTATAATATATTTATACATTTTTAAATTATTGTGCAATTTAGATATTCTTGGTGAGAATGTAATATTAGCCAATTAAGTACATTCCAACAGTATTTGTAACAATTTGATGAATGTATAATATGAATATTAACATATTGTAGTTTGTATATACTGTTATATATTAGGTTGATGCAAATAAAATGGCCGTTTTTTAATTTACTTTAGTAATAAACTTTAGACTTTTATTTGATAAATTTAAAACTTGTTTTATTAATCGAAATAGTCTCCATCTACTTCAATGCCAACGTGATACAAGTGCATCAATGTCATTTTTAAAGAAATTTGAAGAACGAGAGTCGATGAATTCGTGGAATGCATTTTTTACGTCTTTCTTGAAAAATTTTCCCAGTTAAAAACCCATCCAGATGTTTAAATAGATGGTAATCTGTTGGTGAAATGTCTGGAGAATAAGGAGAATGAGAAAAAACTTCGAACTTCAACTCGTCTAGTTTTTTTACGGTTTTTTTCGCGATGTGTGGTCTAAATATTTCATCTTGTCCTTTTCTGTCAGTTCATAGGGAACCCATTTATCCAACTTTTTTACTTTTCCCATGGCTTTCAAATGTCGAACGACAGTTGAATGATGGATACTGAGTCTTCCTGCAATTTCTCGAACCGTTGTTCTCGGATTTGCTTCAATCGTATTCATTAAAACAGCGTCGTCAATGACAGTGGGTGCATGCCCGCGAGATAAAGTGTCGAGATTTGTGTCTCCAGACCGAAACTTTTTGAACCAACGCCTCGTCGTCCTTTCACTGGCAGAACCTTCGCCAAAAGCAGTATTAATGTTTCGCGTTGCCTCGGCCGCACTATGACCGAGTTTGAACTCATATAAATAAATTAAACGAATTTCTTTATTTTCCATGTTGCCTTTAATGCGAACTTCAATAATTAATACTGTAGTAAATAAGTAAAGTTATGTATACAAATTCACACTTAAGACATATATTTGTCAAATGATATCCATACAGCACTATCTGAGTAAAGAAAGATGAACTACAAAGGCGGAAAGTTTAAAATACGAAAAACGGCTATTTTATTTGCACCAATCTAATATTTTGTTTAAATAAAAATTAAGATAAAAGTAATAATACAATATATTAATAATACGTGAATATTATATTTCCATCCCCTTTCTCTCTCCAAAGAAATATCCCCCTAAATGTATTGTTATTATTTTCTTAAATATAGCTATGTGATTTTTATTATTATTTTAAATATAGCAATGTGTGAAAGCTATTACATGAATTTCAATTATTGATATAAGCTATCATAAATAAATAAATTAAATAGTCATATGTAAAATAATTCCAAAATTTTATGTAACTTGTCTAAGTTTGTTACTACAAAATTGTATAAAAAATCAGAAATTTTGTAGTTTTATTCATAAAATACATAAACATATTCAACTTTTATTGATATTTTAGAAGAAAATTACAAATTTTTAATTTTTTTACGTTTTTATTGTATAATTCGTATTTTTAACTGATAACTGATTTTAGTTGGAATAATATGGCATAATTACTACATTTTTGTTAATTAAAATATAATTAATAGCTTTTATTTTAAATTCCTATTATTCAGAAATTATTATTTAAATACGCTGATTATAACTCGCAAGTTAAATTTTATTAGAAAATATTTATTTATAAATTGTAAGAGTTAAAGTTGAAAGAAAGAGATATTAACGATTTAAAGTTTAGTTTACAAAACTTTATTTACTTTTATTTTAAGAATGTATAATGTTTTACAATTTATATTTTCAATTATATTTTTTTAATTGTTTTTTTATTGCTATTAAAAACTGGAATATATATACAGGATGTCCCATTTTAAATTTTATCGCAAATATCTTGGGAATTAAGGAAGATATGCAACTGTTTTGAACAAAAATTACAAGATTTCGAGGAGAAGAGAAGACAGTAATATTTTTTTACCTTGCAATGATCTTGGAAAACTCTGTCAAGGTCAACATAAAAATTTTAAATAGGAACTTCTATTTTTTTATTGCATATTTTTGTAACCAATATTGAAACATTTTCAGAACACTAGATACATGCTTCCTTTGGTTAAGCTCTTCCTGAGATATTTCCCATTTTATAATTGTAAATAAAATACTTTATATACAGCAGATATATTTATTAATTCATTATAGATTTACAATGTAAGTTGATGCATGGTTTTTTGTATCATTAAACAACGGCCATTGCGCAATATAGATCCACAACAAGACCAATGATTGATACCTGGATGCCCGATATGTCCATGGCCACAACCTTTATATCCGCCTTTATAAAAATAAATATATTCTTTCTGCTTATCTTGAAAGCATTTAAATGCAAACTATTGAAAGAGTGCTTTTGTAAATGTTTCAATGGCATAAAATTAATATTAATATTAGATTAGATTAAATATTGATATATAAATTTGTACATACTTTTATAATATTAACTTTATCTCTTTGTTCTTCAGTATGTATTCTATAGTTATTATTTAAGAACTATAATTTATAATTAGTAAAATTAATATTTACCAGGCATTGTGCCTCTACATCCGCAAGTCACTTCCTTTTTCCCACCACTAGAGCAGAATGTGCAGCAGTGATAAATACCACTATGCGCAAGTCTCAAAGCTGACAATTTTGAACCATGATACCAATGTACTGTAACAGAATATTATTACAGTTACAATATATATTATTTGTCAGAAGAATAATATATCAAGTACAAAAATATTGAGTACCGTCTTTTTTATCCGTCATTAGATTTGTCACGCCTAATTTATTTAATCTTTTAACTATTATTCCAGCAAGTGTTAGTATTTCTACTTCAGAACCATCAGCAAGCAAATCGTTTATTAGCGAAATAGCATCCAGGAGGTGCCTTGCTTTTCGTAATCGATCAAATTCTTGAATTCTTTCTTGAGCCTGTGTCGAATGAACTAAAACTTCGTAGTCCCGTAAATTGGAAACATCTGCACTATTTTCAGCGTATCTGTATAAAACAATTTTGATTTATGTGGCTGAAGTAAAATAATCTATAAACATAATAATAATATTAAATACGATAAAAACATTAGATGGTAAAAATTAGTTAAAACAGTACAAATTTAATGATAAATATGCGATCAGTACATGAAGGTCATTTCTTTTATCGTGTACAAAAATATATGCATAAAAAATTATAACCTTGCATAATGTATCTTGAATAAAATATTATTACATATATAAATATTGTATAACATGTTTATCTTCATCTGAATAATCTTATTATCGCAGATCTATATCAATTTAAGATATATAAATCTTATTTTACTAAAATATTTAATTGTCATTTGAGGTATTGTCATATTTTTAATATCTAATATATAAACGATTTTAACGCTTTTTATATTTATTAACAATTGTGTCTTATTTCATAGATATCATTACAATTAAGCACAAATAAAACTTATTAAAATTTAGCTACGCTATAAATTGTAAAAATATAATTACATAGTATTTTGAAATATAAATCCATTTATTAATAAATCTAAAACTATATGCCTTTACATTTTATCCTGGAATAGAATAATAAAAATAGAAATAATACTGTGCAAGTTACATCAATATCTTTTAAAACGCAAAAAGCATCTTATATTGATCGTTTTACTGTTGATATATGCTTAATAGTTATTATATGTTGCAACTAAGAGCTACTCCCAAAAAATCTTCAAATCCAATCGTGATTGTTCCAGTTTGATCTGTGTCTCTAGTCCTAAATGCTTCTGTAACATGACATATGTATAACAAAATTTTTATATATAATAACTTTAATACACTTAAATGATTTTAAGTTATAAAAATATTACATCTAAAAATGTACTTCAATTTAAGTTTCAAATATTATGTAAATTATACAAATCTATATTGAATTAACCCTCTATAACCCAATTTTTTTACGAAGAAGTGGTACACCAATAAGATGTTATGCTAAGTTTTGGCAGAAAATTGAAATGAGACTTAAAAAATTCAAATATATGAGTATATGACTTCAAAGTTACATGGTATTATAAAGGGTTAATAAAGATATGGAAACTATAAATCAGTTAACAAAATATAATTGTCATATTCTATTCTTTTTATATACTTATAAACGAAGAATAAACTACTGAACAAAATTATGTACTAATGTCCAATTCTTTATATTACTGAATGTTTAAATTAAGCTTAATAACCCTCCAATAACGTTCACATTTTATTTATTTTAGCTGTTTGTATCTCTTGATTTTTCATTCATTTTGTACTTGTTATCAATATATAATCTCAAACATTTTATATGAAAATTTTACAAACATTTGACAGTATAACAAAATAAGTTTTCCCCAAATTGTATTACAAACTAAATCTTGAGTTACCAATCTTGTATTTAATTTGTTTCAAGTTTGTACACAACAATACCCTCAGTAGTTTGTTCTTTACTGTTGCGTATCTACTTACCTGTAAACGTTTGTATTTGAACACATAAAACTATAAACTGGTCAACAGTAATAGATTGATGACCACGAAGATCACTCGTTTTTATGAGAAATTGAATGAACTCTGGACTAAGTCTATAACCCATTTGTGTTAAAGCTGCATTTAGTTCATTTTCTTGTATACTGCCTGAATTATCATGGTCAAAACCACGAAAAACACCAAGCCAAGCATTTATATAATTATAAAGAGCTTGAAATTCCAACACACTTATAGTACCGTTCTTTTCTTTATCAAACATACCTACAGATAAAACAATTTTCTCTAATTATCATTAATCAATTATTATCTTTAGTATCTGATATATTCTGGTTAATTAAATAATTAATATATATTTTTTAAAATTTGTAAACATACCAATCATTAACTTGCATGCTGTATCAGAAAAAGTACCTCCTTGACCATTAGCTAATGCTGATTGTAATTCCTTAGCTGTTATTCGTCCACTTCCATCTCTATCCACCGTTGAGAACCATTGTCGAACATCAGGATTTATTTCAGATCCAGAATCAGTAGAACCAAACATTGCATTCTTGAAGGAATAAAAAATAAACATAAGCATATATATTATAAACAAATACACAAATTAAAATAGATATCAATTTTCCATAACAATAAATGTTAAAATTACTAATTCATACATCTTAAGCAATTCAATAACACAAAACTACCATATTATTGTTGTAAATAAAAATGCAATTTTAACTATTATTCAGTATTACCGGATATGCCATTACTGAAACTCTATAACCCTGATAGCATACAGAGAAAACAGAAATTAGGCCGTAAAAAGCCTTTTTCAGACTGTTATTACAAAATATTGTTATAACTAATAGTATTATATAATAATAGAACCATTCATAAAGCTAATTAACATTGACTACAGTCTGAAACACGTTCACAGCACTATTAGCGCGCTCACGGCAGAGCTGCCAGTTTTCCCTAGAGAGCTCCATACGCAATAACCGAGACCCGCTGACGTCACGTGCCCGTGTGCGCTCGGCTTTCGGTTTGTAGAAGCGACCGGATATATGTTTTGCGTCTCCTTTCCACCAAGCCTAACACCAACCGTTTTATGAGGTGACGTTGCGTACATTGACAACGAAAATGCTATATATCATATGCTTTATATCATATAAAGCAATATTCCAAGTATTACTATATATAAAAATAATATAAATAAAAAATACATCATTTAATAGATCAATTGTTTTAAAATGGATAGGCTAGAACTTGGATTAAATGGTTACTTGTATATTTTTTATGCAATAACAACATTTCTGCGATAGGCCATTTCTCGTATTCTGCTCTCGTGAAATATGATTGTGTACGTCTTACTTCGTTTTATCTTTAATTATAAATAATTAAGAGTCTGTTGCAACGACACAGCCACGATTAATTCATTACAATTGACAATTTTTCGTTTCTTTTTTTTCAAATCCTAGTTTTAATTACAATATTTAGAATACCTACGTCTTAACACCACTTTCTCTTAATAACAAAAGTTTTAAAAAATTTCAGAACTTCTAAAGCAACAAATAAATTATCCTAGAAATTAAATCTTTAATTAATCTTTATTTTTTTTACATTAAAATCCATACAAATGTACGACATTGTCAGCGTACGTGTGTTATTGTTTACGCATTCCATTCTACCACTATCTCTTTCTATTCTATTATTATACATATATGCGTTATCCTGTACTCTTATTCTCACTTTAGCATTTCTTCTGAACAAGTGCGGCAGCGGCAGTAAAAGTGGGGCAATGCCAGCGGCTGTGGCTACGACCTGCGGCCACGGCTGCGGCTGTGGCTACGGCTGCGGCTATGACTGCGGCACACGCCAACACAAGAATACAAAATTAAATAGACAATATTACCTAGATAACACTACAATATTGTATGAATATTCTATGTTGCATCAAATATATTTTTATGAAAATATTCTTGAAGAAATCATTTATATATGTCTGTAGAATATCCTTGTTCATAAAGAATATTCTATAAATTCCTGCCCAGAATATGTTAAAATCAGCAATAGGAACATATTGTTTACATATTCCATAAATGTTCACTGAATATTCAAATGTACTGAAGATATATATATACCCAGTCAACAAAATGTTAGCAGCCTGCTAGCAGATTCGTTCAGAACTTGGCAGCAAATACGGTGCCATCTGTGTCCGCATTAAGCTCGTGTTCTGTCGGCAGAATTTGTCGACATAGATTGACAGCAGATTGGCGGCAGAAAACGAGCAGGATCTACGCAGTGTAATTTGGTATCAGATTGTCGGTAGAAATCGAGCAGAACCTGCCGTCACAATTTAAATGGAATAGCGGCATTTAAATGCTTTATTACAATTTTACATTTCTCGTTTCGCTTATTAAAAGTAGTAAATGAGGTATGCAAAGTATATAATGTATATTTGCTTTATTGGGACAAAAAAAATACTTATGTTTTAATAAATTTATTAGGCAAAATCTCGAAATCACTGCAATATCGGGTCAACTTGCAGCGCATTTTCAATTTCAAAAATCAGTTTAATATTCTGAATCTCTTATGGGGATTGTATCAGATTATTGTATTAAACTGATAAGTTTCATTAAGCCACTGGCCACACTTTATATGCACTGTAGATGAATTTTGAGTACGAGTTTATATATGAAGAAACACGCCGCATAGCGGCGAACAACATCAAATTGCACTGCGCAGATTTTGCTCGATTTTTGCCGCCAATCTGACATCAAACTGCATTATACAGATCCTGCTCGATTGCTGCCGTCAATCTGATATCAAACTGCGTTGCGCAGGTCCTGCTCGGTTTCTGCCGCCAATCTGCTGTAATAATTTCGAGCAAATCCTACTCGGTTTCTGCTACTGATCTGCTGTCAAATTATGTCAGCAGGTTTTGTAACATTTCTGCTGACATTCTGCTATCATCATCTGATGTAACAGGTTTTGTATACAATCTGCAGTCTTTCTGCTGACAAAAATTTGTAGCAGACGTTTGGCAATATCTGTTCGAACAGACTTTGCTGACTGGGTAAACGTTCAGAAGACTAGATGACGTTCAGAATGCATAGCAAAAAATAGATCAAGATTCAACTTCTGTCAATTTCTGTCAATTTCATTTCCGTTCCACTTCCGATCAGCACATGTATTAATAGTTACGCAGTTAGTCTTGATTAGTCTGTACAATTCAAGCCGCAATTATAATTAATACAAAAATTCAATTAATCCAAAGGTAAGTTTAGATTTTAAGAGTTTTTTTAATAAAAATGGTAAGCAATTGCTTAAAATAATAGATTCTTTAACCTAACCCTAACATAACCTTAAAAGTACTTTTTGTAACAAATAATTTCTTGTTTTAGAAAGCCGAGCAAGACTTCTGGCTTTTCGAGTTTATCTTCGAAAAATTTTTCAAAAATAATATGAAACATAGTAAAGTGACTTCAATTATCTATCAATTTTTATTTTTATTTTTAAAACATATTATTGGAAAGAACGGCACTATAAGTGTGTTGGAATTGCAAGCTCTTTATAATTATATAAATGCTTGGCTTGGTGTTTTTCGTGGTTTTGACCATGATAATTCAGGCAGAATACAAGAAAATGAACTAAATGCAGCTTTAACACAAGTGGGTTATAGACTTGGTCCAGGGTTCATTCAATTTTTCATAAAAACGAGTGAAAATCTTCAAAATCTTCGTGGTCATCAATCTATTACTGTTGACCAGTTTATAGTTTTATGTGTTCGAATACAAATCCTGGATGAAAGATATATAAATTTCCTAAATAAATTTGCGAAAAAGTTCGAAAATCTAAGAAAGTAGCTATGGCGTTCTGAGAATATTTACACAAAAGTACCGCAAAACTACCGAAATTGAAACAAGATCTTAGAAATTCTTATTTTTTTGTATAAAATTATAGCTTGTAATAGAAAATTGTAGTTGCTTGTAGAAATGTGCAAGTTTTCGTTAATTCTTTTAATTTTTGTAAAAATTTGCAGTTTGTCGTTTATTATTTTAAATATTTTAGTTTGTCGTAGAAATTCGATGGTTTTCATGGGAAATTGTAATGTTCGTAGAAAATTATAATTTTTTTCGTAGAATTTTGAAGAAAGTACGAATTTCTACGAAAACCTCAAAATGATTTTTTTATATATAATATTATATAATTTTTTTACGATAACACTATACCAGAGAGAAGACTGAGAGTGGACATGCCCGCATTTTTCGTGTTTCTGTGGGCTAGCGCCTCTATGTGCACAAAACGTGCACATTGAACTACGTAGCCAATGTCCACGAATCCCGTAGGTAATGTCCACAATCTTTTGGGTCTCTTCCGTGCTATGTCCACGACTTTTTGGTTCCGATATGTGCTATATCTACAAAGTGTCGGTAATGCATACTTGTAAAACATGATTATGTATATCAATCAGATTTGAAATATAAATACACACGTATTGTAAATACATGTATTGTAGCATTTA